TCATGATTTTAACATGAATTTACATCTTGCGACATTTAACGGTAGTGTTGCAACATTTAACGGTAAGGGAAATTTGCGCGACATTTAACGTTAACGTTGCGACATTTAACGGCAAATGATTTTGCGACATTTAGCGGCGGTTGCGACATTTAGCGGCAATTGTGCGACATTTAGCGGCAAGTGCGACATTTAGCGGCGTTGCGACATTTAACAGCGCCACAATGTGATTAAATTCATCTAGTTTCTGTGAATTAGTTGCATTGTTCGCTATAGCGCAATATGTTATTAAAGTACGGGAATATAATAGCTAAAATGTTCTATATGTTGTATGATCGAGACAGAGTATGTCCAGGTTTTTTCTTATTCATAACTAATTTCAATACTTTTGAAGTTATGGTTTTTCTGTTTTTAATATGTTTTGCACTTTTTTGTAAATACTATACTTTTGTATATAACATTGTTTAAGAATTAATACTGAAAATTCGCTCGGATTAAAATCAATAAATGTAATATCAGTGCAGTAAAATGCAATAAAAATATGACAATTCATTGTTTCTTAGTTGTTTCATATCCGTGTAGACAATTTTGCAAGTGCTTGACTATTTTCATTAAAATATACTTAAAAAATAAAGAAAGAATTAGCCTAAAAAGAATGTCAAAAGAAGGGATCGAACCTTGGACCTACTAGTATCATGCAGTTGATAATCGCTTAACCGACTGTGCTATTGCGGATGTTACGGGAATCTCCATTAAGCTAGCGGGAGTTTTTAAAATGTTAGTCATAAACTCCATATTAATTCTCGTAATATAAACGGACAAAACCGAAGTGGGATCGAATAATTTAATGAGTGCTATAATGTTTTCATTATTGACAGGTCAATAAAATCAGACTATATTTGGGAAGCAAATTATGCCTTGCCATTGTAATAACTCAGGCAACGTCATTACATCATGTTCTTTTAACGATGGCGTCAAATGGTAAAACAGTGAAAACAATAAATTTGCAACCAATTCTGAAAATTGCTTTAAACTGTAATCTACATTGTTCGACTTGGAACTGGTGGCATACATATTAAAAGTTATACATATTGGCGTATTTAAATTATTTCACTAATTAATATCTTTTTAAATCTTTTGAATTTTTTGCGCACGATTTTATTATTGAGGACCTCATTTTCCGCTTAAAATGTTTCTGTTATCATATTCTAACCACGTGACAAGTTTATAGAAACTCTATGGAACAGTTTTGATTTTGCCTATATATATATATGTATATATGAAAATTCACGAAAACGTCCTTAAAAAGCCAAAACTTTGGGATACCGGGCATACATAACTCTGTTAGGGCATTCCTAGGAAAACAAACAAATGACGCAAAATTAAAACAAGCAAATGGAACAAACTATATATTTTTGCAACAGTATGTTTAAGAACATCAGTGAGAGAGTCCATCCCCAAATTTATTGTTTTCATTGTTTTACCATTTGACGCCATCGTTAAAAGAACATGACGTAACGACGCTGCCTGCGTTATTACAATGGCAAGGCATAATTTGTTTCCCAAATAACGTTTGTATAATAACAGTCGTTATTATGGAAAGAAAACGGAATTCATGTTTCTTCGCATTTGTAACCAATTCTGAAAACTGCTTTAAACTGTAGTCCAAATTTTTGGCTTGGAACTGGTGCCATAATTGTCAATTGAAGAAAAAGTTCAGATTTACGCCATAAATAATTGCAATATAAACATATTTAAGTAGGATTTTGCCTTCCTTACTCCCGGTTGATGTAATCTTGACTTTTAAATCATGGCGTAGGTCAGATAATACAAGAAAACGAAATAGCTTACAACTGAAGTCCGCTCGAATACAAGCAACTTTCAAGGTTATACAAAGTGTTTGATGAAACGGCTCATATACTGAATGAAAAAAAAAACTATTCTATGGCAAGATTACATTTTTCTCCGAAGAATAGTGCATATCCCAAAGAAATCGGTGCAGAAATAAAATACTTACGGCTATTTTCCTTTTCGAATCGAGCAATATTTGTCTTGGAAATGATGCCGAAAATGACGTTCAGGTCACGTGGTATTGCTACACTGTTACAGGTCATGGCAAACTTTCATTTTATACATGTATATATAGTACTAAGTACTATGAAAATAGCTATTGCCTAACATATGATGAATATCACCTTCAAAATGAAGAGCATAATTTGCAATGTTTTGAATACAGTCATATTAATCTATCTTTTCCAGCCCCTTCAGATGCTATCCTTAAAGTAGGCAATGTGGAGATAGGGCCGGACCCTGTTGTTATACCAGGTGATTTGGTGATGACTATGGCAGCCAACAGTACCGCCCCTCTTGGAAGTTCAACTCTTAACCTGTCAGTCAAGAGGAAAACATTTCTTATAGATATCCCAATACCGTGCATAAGCCACATTGGATCTTGGTAAATTTAATTTATAGTGTGTTTGCCTACGTGTATGTGGGCGGGGCATGTTTGCGTGCGTGTGTGTGAGGCGGGCATGTTTATCTGCGTGTATGTGAGGCGGGGCATGTTTGCCTGCGTGTGTGTCAGGTGGGGCATGTTTGCCTGCGTGTATTTGAGGCGGGGCATTTTTGTATGCGTGTGTGTGTGAGGCGGGGCATGTTTGCCTGGGTGTTTGTGAGGCGGGGCATTTTTGTATGCGTGTGTGTGAGGTGGGGCATGTGAGATTGGGATGCGTTAATGTTAGTTGGGGACAGACTTTGGTTAAGGGAAGTTGGTTGTCTTGTCGCGATTATCTGAATGACTTTCGTATATTCAGTTTTTAAGCACTGACTATTATTATCAAGGACAAAAAACGATTTTGTTTAACAATAATAAAACATCGCTAATTCACTTACCAGTTCGCACATTGCATTCTTTAAAAAAATGTTCAAACACAGTGTCTTACTGTTTCAGCTCATATCCAGACTTATGTACCCTAGTTGATCAGATGATTAACGAAAATTGGCTGGGTGTCACTTCCGGTATTGCTACACAGCTCAAGACCATCCTTGCCAACAGTGGTATAGATGCATCCCGATGCCCTCAACCTGCACAGATGCTCAAGATTGACCACCAGTCTATCCATCTTCCGGAAATACCATCGGCACTTTCACACTTTGCTGCAGTAAGGATATTTGTTTGTTTGTTTGTTTTTTACGTCTCACCACACAATATAGGTCATGGCGACTATTCAGGTTTTCTAGTGGAGGAAGACCTCAAATGCCTTTCCGTGCATTATTTCAGGCACGAGCGGGCACCTGAGTAGAACCACTGACGTTCCGTTAGCTAGCTGTTTGTTTCCTCACATAAAAAAATCCAAAGTCCATTTCGGGATTCGAATCTATAGCAGTAAGGATGTTTAAATATCGAAATAATACCAAGTTTTTTTACAGTATACCGGTAGAATACTCTGAGTAAGATTGGGTAACTTTCTCATGTGAAAGAAGAACCAAATATACATGGAAAGATCTGGTATTTTTTTTAAAATCAGTGATCCGGGTCATCCGGCAACGGAGGTCCGATGATTTTCCGCATATATGATATGGGTAACCTCAACTTTTCTGTACTTGAAACTACGAGATGGAGTGCGAATATCATTACAGAATTTTTTGTTAACCAAATATATGGCACAATACGCCGGCAATTCATATTTTTTTATCGCAAATGTAATAACTAAATACATGTATATTCTATGTTTCTATATAATTATTTTGATATAATTTTTTTTCAGGGGGATTATCATATCAATATTCAGTTAATTGACAATGTCAGCAAGAAGATGAATTTGTGCGTCGATGCCTTTCTCACAATCGAGGAAAAAGAAAAATGTACCGGAATTTTTTGCATTTTTGGTTAGAAATGTTTCAATGTTTTGTCAAATAGAAGAAAAAATAAACAATACCACTGCGTAGGAGTTTTTGTTTATTGAAACATGCAGTCAGTAAAATTTGGCACCTTTAGGCTTCCATAGAATCCATATTTATGTCATAAAATTAGATGTGACCCCAACACCAGGCATGATATAGAATGCTCCGAGATCAAAGTTCAAGGAGAATTTTGGACACCCCCATTTAGTACCTATTTGAAATTAGTGTACACCTAGAGGGGGTGGGGGCGTTCATGAAAATACATGAAAATATTTGGACGTGCTATTAGGTAAAAATATGTTACTTCTCTCATCCTTAACTCTTTACTATATACTTTATTTATCGTAGAAATATGCCCTTAAAATAAGAAGAAAGAAAGAAAATAACTATCAAGAACAATATTTATGTACGACTGTACAACTTGAAATTATGAAAAATTTTCATGTGCATCTATATTTCAAAGTTTTGTGTTGTTTTGTTTGTTTTTTGTTGTTGTTTTTTTTTAAGAAAAGATACGAGAAATTAAGTATTTATTCATCCACTAATGCTGCATAAAATAAAAAATAATTTAAGAAATCTGAAAGAAAATAATAAGTTGAGGATTCGAACTTGCAACTTCGCAATTGCTATGCTAGCATACTTACCACTAGGCCATCGGGACCTTAGAATATAATAAAGTATCGAGCAATTTTCTATCTTTAAAAATTTAGCAAATCGTAATAAATTACGAAAACTAACGAAAAAGCTTCCGTCTCAAACAATACTTTCATTTTCAAATCGCATTTGTCACCATAACATTGCACCAGCACGTAAAACAAGCATGACGAAGTCGCAATAACGAAACGCGAAATTACCGAATCAGACGTGTATTTTTATGCTAGAATAGTGCTTATGAAACTTGTTCGTGCATTATCATCAGCAGCCAGAGTTTTCAGGGCAAAGTTTGTTTAAGTTTTTTCTGCAGAAACAAATGTCCATTCACCCCCTAATTACGAGATAAATGAACACAATGCCTCGTGATCCAAAAGAATATATGTAGGTTGTAACTGTAGTGTCCGAAGCATAGGCACGAAAATCCCGTGCAAACCGTGGCTCAGTATACACCTGGCTATTCATGTACAATCGTGTCGTACTGTTGAATGATTCGTTTAAAAAAAGGTGTGAAAGATTATTTGAAATTATTATACACCAATATGGCTGAACGGAAGTACACAAGGTTTCATCGGACGGCGTTTGATAGATTCATACCTTTCCGGCCGAACTTGGATGTTGAAACGTCACACGCGAGACTTATGCTACGTTTACCGGACTGTGCAGAGAATGAACTTGGTCAGTTCAAGAGCCCAGTTACAAAATCTTACGCTCGGCTTTTGTCAGAAACAACGCATGTGGAGGATGGAAATGTTTTGCCAATATGCAGTAAACCGTTTGCAAGTATGATTTTTCCTTTGATGTATACTTACTGTGTTTACTTTTTTAATTTTGTCGATGAATGATGAAGACAAACAGACAAAAGCATGCGTTTGTCGAATGTTCTTGCTGTTATTTATTGATATTTTTTCCTAGAAATTACCGGTTTTAGTATACATCAGTGTACATTACCTTGGGTTTTACATATTAACTATTTACATGTATATAATATGTGCATTAATATACAAAATGTTATTTTTTAAGTACTGCAAGTGACTATTTTATAGTTTTTCTAGTATGCAAATACGCTCAAACTATATGCAAAGAGTAAAAAAAAAATGTAAAACACAGCGTATTTGTGTATACACAATACCATGTTTTATATATACACGAAAAAACGCCCAGAGTCATTTGAGCAATTATCTCATTATAATAACTGTAAAATTGTAACTGCATATTATGCACGAGGAAAATATGATAACTGTACATGTGTACTGTAGATAACTGTATCTCTCTATACTTTGATTAACTCCCCTGAGCACACTGTGTTCAAGGTGAAAAAGAAAAAAAAAGCTTTTGTGTTCTCAGTGCGTCGTCCGTTTGTCTGCCTGCACTTCTTTGTACATATCCTGCTAAATCATTTGGTCAATGATTTCAAATTTTTTCTAGATATAGCTCTCAAGTACACGTCTTTATATATGGTTTGAAAAATGATTCGCAGCAGAATTATGGTTTCCATTGCAATCGAAAGATTAGATATTTGACATGAAATAGTTTGTAGCGGACCTCTACAAAATTCTTCATTTTAAAGCTCTAGGGTCAAAATTGTTGCCAGAGATTTTTTATCATTTTTGTTTCTCCTCTTAACGCAGAAAGTCTCGCACTTTAGATATATGACATGAAACATTGTCTAATGATGGCTACAGAGTTTGTTCAAATTATAGCACTGGCGCCACGTGGATAATGTTTTGTCCCTAATTATATTTATACTGTAAAATCTTTTCTCCTTTCTATTGATGTGCGTATGGGTTTAACCATTCTGTTGTTTTATGTTTGTTGTTGTTGTTTGTTGTTTTTTTATTGTTGTTGTTTTTTTTTCGCCACAAAATGTGTGAAAATGCAAAATATTAATACAATAGGTACGGAAAAATTTGTCCTCTGTAGGTCCTTTCAAAAAGCGATTGACTCAACTATTTCCTACAAGACCAGATGAAGGGTACAGTTCTCCAACAACTGATAAAATCCGAAGTATTCCGACATCACCAGATTGCATCATGGACATGCCAGGACTTAGAGACGATTTTTGTAAGACCATTTCCAAAGTGCATTTTGTATAACTACATTTAAAATGGCTTATGTAATGTGTTTTCAATTCCCTGTTAAAGAATGATTCCCACCTAACTCTATAGTAAACTCAAATGCAATCTTGGGTTTATTTTCAATGGGCTTTCTCTAGAAATGCTTATGTTTTATGGTAAAATGTGTACAGACTTTTCAAAATTTTAAACGTTTATGTTTCGTAAAATTTCACAAATAAACGTCATTTTTCTTTATCAAACATACGGTATCCAATGTTCTCTTAATAGAATTAATTGTCCTACAAAAGTACAAAAATATGTCATTGGCTTATACTATTTCCATTACGAAAACTCTATGGAAATTTGTCAAATTTGCAAATATTGCACAAAGGTTAATTTATGTTTTTTATCACCTATTTATATTCCAGACACAAATTTGCTAGATTGGAGCAATAAGAATTTAATTGCTGTTGCACTGTTCCAGTCGGCATATGTATGGGACGCCGAGTCCAAAGACTGTCAGAGAATTGAAATACATTTTCCACAATCATATTACTATATATCGGCACTGGCTTGGAGTCCAAGAGACAAAGCATTGGCCATATCTGATAACGACGGCGAGATTACGGTAATGTAATAGTCTCTTTATGGCCTTATAAATAAACAATCGTAACTGTTCGGCCCTTTCCGTTAAACTTCGGGTTAGGATAACATTGTTAATCGACGATGTGTTCCGAATGTATACATGTAAATACCAACCAAATCTCTTTAGATAGAATATAGAGCTGATTGCATCGACCAAAGTAGGCTTCGTCCTGGCCTCAATGTTATTAAAAACATTTTTTTCAGATCTGTCTCAAATATCACGATGTTTATTGGTCAGTGTACTTTTCGTGCCAGTTTCTGACCAAAAAAAAAAACGAAATTTGATTTTAAGCCTTAAGAATTTCTTTATATCCTCCTGCTCAGGGCTAGCCATGCACATGTAGTTTTCTGATAGAGTTTTATCACGGGGGTGAAACCCCATATGAATCTCAAAAATAAGCATCGGTAAAAAGAATAATTATGTGAATTTCCGCTGCTCCGATTCATGTGGGGTTCCACCCCCGTGTTCTATATCTAAATGTTTCTAAAGCTTTAAGTGGGCTCCTGAGGAAGAAAATGTATTCCATAAAGTCAGAAGCTTCCTTGGTACAAATTTTATATGGATTTCAAAAATCTTACTTTAAGTGGTTCAGAGTTAATGCTGTCTTTTAAAGTGCATATCTTTTTGTCTGTTAAAAAAAACAAAAGCTGAAAAGTCCAACGGATGAAGCGTTAAAATGCTTATAACAATTTAATATTTTGCAGATTTGTGATGTCGAAAAGTTACAATCTCAGAGAAAATTTGTTCCACTTAGACAAAAATGTTCAGTTGGAGCACTCAAGTGGACAAACTACGGAATTATAAGGTATGCTTCGGAAAACAAACATATATGATGTTTTTTGGGGGTTTTTAGTAACGTATTTGTGTAGTGCCTTTAAATACATTTGTATTTTTTTTCAAATCATACTTTGTATCCCAGGACTGCTGCAAAATATCTGTAATTAAAATGGTAAATATTTAACAGATGATTTTGTAAAACAATTATTCCCAATTTGGCGACATAAGTAACTGGGTAATTGACATGTACGTTTATCTTTGTCACGTGTTTTTGATCTAAGAATTTTTTAACGTTTGTTTTTCGAAACCTTCTTTACATTATGTATGCGTTGTATGTGTTAACTATCATATAAACTCTTCTAAGGGTATCGCAATGTTTTCCAACGAAAATCCTCGTCGCATTATGTAAATCTTCAGTGTATATACGACGCACTGTTTTTTGACGTTGTTTGACAGTGCTGTACTTCTTGAACTATTTCTAAATTATTTACAATAGTCGCCATGCAATATATTCTACGTTTAAGCGTTGTTTTGTGCGTAAACGTTTATTCACGTTGTATATATATACGTTAACCATGATCGCTTTTCAAATAGTTTTACCTTGAGTATTATACAATATTTTCTACGTTTATTCACAGTGATATGGTATACATTAATTTCGCGTTTAAGCGTTGTTTTGGTTCGTTTACGCTTTTCATATTGTAAATACTAGTTTCTCAACCATTACATAACATCTTCAACGTTTTTAGCGTTGTTTTTTTTTTCAGCGGAAACCGGAGAGGTGAGATACGGATTCATGATGACAGATGTAAAGATAGTTCAGCGTTAAAATGCATGGATGGACATCACCGGAAAGACGTCTGCGGATTATCAGTCTCACCTGGCACGTCATATTTGGCAAGTGGAGGGGATGACGGCCATGTCAACATTTGGGATCTACGAATGATGACAAACTGTAAAACTATCAAGGCCCATTCTGCATGTGTTAAGGTATAAATATTTTTTGTGTGCAATTTTATATGTTTCAGATGAAGAACAGAAGTTTTTCATTGATATTTCTGCTTATTAGTCTATATATAAAATTTGCTGTCTGTTATTATGATATAGTTGGGACTTTATGATATAAACATTTATCACATCGCGGTTGTGCTAAGCTCAAATATTCACATCTTGAAGTCATGATAAACAGATTGGCATTAGACATTCCTCTGATTGTTCTAGATGGCCGTTTTGTTTTATAACAAGAACTCAGAGGCTGAATTCAGATGTGACCTTCACCTTTTAATTAGCTTGACCAAATTAAATTAAATGTATTGAAATTTCATTAAATTCGCAAAATCTATAAACATGTTAAATAAAATTTGACAAAACATGTATGAAATCTTCTTGCGATTATCTTTAGAAATTAAACATTGATTCATAAATGACCTTTATTATGCTAATGTCATTTTTCAATATTTGTTTAAATTGGCTATAACGGACTTTCAAAGTCATTTGTGAAAATTTAGTACTTTATATACAGAAGTATTATTTGGACACAACGCCATGTTGGATAATATCATCATACTGTCTGAAGAGAGTAATTATGATTTTAATCTCTAAATGACATTGACAATCAAAGGTAAAACGTTCGTTATGCATTAAAATTGCGGTAGATGGATTTGGATTTAAGCTTTGACAAACAACATTCATAACCAAACATTTATATGGATTTTTCATTGACATTGATCTCTTAAAGATGTTCAACAAAAAGGCCTCTTTCATTTGGTAACAAAAAGGTCATAATTATATGGTCCACTGCATGTGGTTCGTCTTGTTTTAGAACTTGAGACTTTATGTGGGTGAATTTATCATGTTGAGTGAAGGTTATAGTTTTAATTACTTGTAGTATGTTTCTCTTTGTTTTTGAAGGCACTGTCTTGGTGTCCATGGAGACAAAATGTCATAGCAACAGGTGGTGGATTAAATGATGGTAACATACGGCTATGGTACGCACATACGGGAGAACAGCTGGCAGAAACCGCCACTAATTTACAGGTTGAAAACTAACAGATATTTCATACATAAATGCAATTTTGTAGACTTTCAGGGTTTAATGTCAGGTATTCCAGATATCGGACTGCTCACCAATCGTCCCCTACTAAGCACCAATTCTTATTCCAGAAATGATTGAATTGAAGGAAAGAATTTTGCTACGTAAAGCGATAGCTCAGACTGCTCTTGCAGCTCCTGTTTGAGAAATGATGCTCGCAGTGAGATCTAACATGGAAAAAAAATGAAAATCACTACTAAATATTAATATTAATAGACTTAATTTTCTGTCCTTTCGTTTATGCGCGAGAATGATGTTACAAATGTACATTGTATTTCCGTTGCTAAGGGTATTTCAAAATGTAAAAGGAGACACATTTGGAAATAGCATATACTTTAATGTTCTACTATGCTTAGTGTACTAGATAATATAGATTTTTCAAAGATACCGGAAATAATGCATATTGTCTGTCATCCAAAATGTGCATTTTCGGTAGTATCCGGAAAGTCCGTTCATGTTATAATCAGTCACTGTTGATGAAAAAAAAAACAGTAAAAGAAATATCTCATTGTCTTTTTACCAGGTTTGTGGTTTGTTGTGGTCAGAAGAATACAATGAACTGGTGTCGGCCCTTAGCTCTCAAACTCCCGACAGAAACGACCTGGTTGTCTGGAACATGAAGAAGTTCGAGTTTGAAGCTGTGGCTAAACTCCGTCAACATATGGCACGCCCGTTACATATAGCACTTAGCCCGGATGAAACTACCATAGGTACGACTCAATATACATTTTAGCCGCGTCACGACAAAACAAACATAGTGCGTTTGCGACAAACATGGATCCAGACCAGTCTGCACATCCGCGCAGTCTGATCAGGATCCATGCTGTTCGCTATCAGTTTCTCTACTTGTAATAGGGTTTGTAAGCGAACGGCATGGATCCTGATCAGACTGCGCGGGTGCGCAGGCTGGTCTGGATCCATGCTGGTCGCAAACCCATTATGTTGATTTTGTCGTGACGCGGCTCATTTGTTACAATTAATAATGCTTGGTCAATTTTAGTTCGTCTGTTTCAAAGAAAAAGTCGAGCTTTATGTTCGTTACGTCGTCGTTGTGCAGGTCAACTAAGCATTGCTACATGTTACATATCTTAGCTCTGTGCATTGTTATAAAGACCTGTATCAGTGTTTTTGCATTTGATACTAAGAAAAAGTTAGGTTTGTCCCCGTTTTTTGGCGACTCTTGTTTTAGGAATGAAAGGTGTTTTTTTTTTATCACATTTAGTGATGGTCCTAGTTTATTTCAGCTTCGGCGGGCGCTGACGAGGCATTGTGTTTGTGGAATACATTTCCAAAGCGGTCAAGACGTAAGCAATGGTCACCTTGGGATAAATCCCCACTGAACATGTATAATTATATAAGATAATTCTCTTTTGGAAAAACAAAACAAAACAAACAAAAACAAACAAAACAAAGACTTCCATCACAATGGACGACGAAACAATAAAGTATCTTGGAAACTCTGTGTCAACTAACACTGTGTACAATATTTTACTTTATCAATTTTCAAATACACAATATTCCTTTTTTTTCTGAGTGTGTCAGAAATTTATTTTTTATTGTCATTTCAAGTTTATTACATTCGACTTTAAGTCAATGATAGCTGTGCAAGCATATATACATTGTATAAATATATCATGATAAATTTTTTCTCAATTATTCAATTTTTTTTTGTAACGATACCATATACCGATTTATTCTCTTTTTATAAACATTTACACTTGTTATATTTTTTATGTTATCTTATTTTCGTAGCAAATGAAATAATTGCTTTATATATACATTATATCTAAATTTTGTTGTTAAATAATGGCAATTCGTGTACTATTGAATGATTTGATCAAAGTCATTAAATCTCTTTGTTCATATTTTTCTCAGTTTTGAAGATGAAATATTATCATAAAAAATCACTACTTTAAACCTTTAAAGTTTGTTGTTGTTATTATTGATATTGTTATTAGTGTTGTTGTTGTGGTGGTGGTTGTTGTTGTTGATGATGACGATGATGATGGCGATGGTGATGGCGATGATGATGAATAAGATTTTTAGATAAAGACATTATGAAGCAATTATTTTGAAAATTAAATACAAACATGTATTTTAAGATAAACTCGAAAAGGACTAGTATACCCCAGCCACATAATGTGGAGGGGGCTATACTGGAATCACTTTGTCGCGTCGATCGGTCCTCTCCATAAATCCTACACCCTTTCGAGAATTTTCTCCAAACTTGGCTCAAATGTTCACACCAACAAGGCGATGTTTAGAGCTTATGCCACTGTTGTGCTGGCTCAAGCTTAATGTTACCCTTGATGTACAAATATTAAACAATCTTGTTTCCACTCTAAAAATCCTATACCTCTTAAAGCATTTTCTTCAAACCTGGCTCAAATGTTTACCTTAACAAGGTAATGTGCAGAAATCGTGTAACAGTTGTGCCGGCTCAAGGTCAGCCTTTAAGGTCAAAGATTAATAGTCAAATAATTTTGTGTGACTCGGGATTAATTAAGACGTTCGATGTTGTACCTGATCAAGAATAATATCATGAATAGCCTCCCTTTCATTAATTTTCACTGAACTCTTATTTCGTATCCTTAAAGCCACATTATGCTTAAGAAACAAATAATTGTTTACTTCTTTAGAAAGGTAAACCTGAATTTCATAATATTTAAAGAATGCTTTCAAGAGAATGTTAGACGCTTGTTACCTAAAGAAAAAAGCGATAATTGTGAAACAATTTTTCATAAAAGTAGCAAAATGGAAACAAAGTAGTATTTTGACTTCCATACAAAATACTAATATCAATTTAACTGTACTTATTGCCAAAATGTAACAAATGAAAAAGATTGTTTAGGTAATTGGCCTATGAGTGACTATTTGGATACTATAAAGGTACACCAAAATTAAAAAGCTTTTGAGAATCAATAATAAAAGCATTTCTGAGGCATAATGTTCCTTGAAACGCTGCATTCGTTTTCATGGTAACTTTACTCGATTATAAGAAGTGCATGGAATAACAGTTATATTTTACATAAAGGACTACGTAACTGACAGTACATACGAGATGCATTTCTTTAAAAGCCAGATGAACGAAGAACATGGTGTACATGTTTATTGATTACGTTAGCGCAGATCTTAATTAATTAGCACTTATTTTCCAACAAGTAGTATTTTCATTACCATGAATTTATAAATCCTCCCTGACTTCTCATAAATCATTATCAGGTGTTAACATGTTTATTTTTAGGAATTAAGTTCCATGTAAAAAAAAAATTCTGTGACAAAATCTACGACTGGACACAGAGTGCTTGCAAACTAAAAAGATTCATAATTATTTTCAGATTTATTAATCATTTATATAATGATATATCCTCAAAAACAGAGAGTGTTTCGTCGCGTCATATGTTCCCTAGTAACCATTTCCCAACATTCCTTAATACGGTTACTTCCGTCTAACAATGGCTGCGTTTCCGGTAACAATGCTGACAGTGTGGTATACAGTGGCAAACAAATGAAATTGATGAATCCAACCTGAAATAAGGACCAAAACTCATGGTTGTATAATAAGATTTTCAAACAAATACATCTAAACTAGCAAATGACTACTTCCCAATTAATTACTGTAATTTTAAAAGTAGTTGTAAAATGAAACTGAAGCTTTAAGCTGCATGCCTGCAGATGAGCCAAAATATCTTAAAAATCAAAAAGATTTTAAGAAAGGTAATTTACATGTTACGCGCGATCTGATTTTTCAGTATTTATCACTGTATTTCTCCTACGTGACTAACGCAGTAATGGCTATTTTTGCCTATTTTGACCTCTTTTTGATAATTTGCGTGGTTTGTATGTGTTAATTACTTTCTTTGTTCACTTCACAATATTTTAGTTCTAACTACATTTAAAAAAAATTCATGAGAATTAGCAGAACACAGCAGATTAGCAGATTTTCATATGTAGGCCATTGTTCATATTCAAATATCTTAGTTTCTTAGTCAAAGTTTGGGAAACATTATTTCTCTCTAAATGAAACTGACCAATTGAAACATGGAGCTTTAAATATTGTTTTGGTTGTTTTTTACCTGTTGCTTCGGAATCTCTTCCCTGTATAATCTATCCATCATACGCACTGGTTGTAGGCCTCTTTCTTTCTCTTTGTCGCCCTGGTAACCATAAAAACAATATTTTGTCTAAACTGAATAAGTAATATAATCATTGAATCAAAGTTCAATCAGGGTTATTCAAATTTCTATTTAAAAGAACCTGGTTCAATGTAGTAATAAACCTGAACAAATATAATATTCTATTTATCACATACGCAAAACAAAAACTGTTTTCAGAAAAAAAGAATTACTTTTTCATTGCCAGGCTTAGTGTAACGCTAACATTTAGCGCGTTTTTAAGTTTTGTTTGTGTAAGTTTTAATTTAATACGCAAACTACATCACGTCAAAAAATATGCACGGCCGTGCAATACCATTTTTTCTGAACAAAAAGTCAGGGAAATATGAAACCAATTAAGTATTGTTTCCGTTTTAAACTTTCACACTGTTTAGAATACTTGTATTTAGAGGGTAAATCAATTGTGTTTACCCGCTAAATATGTATTTTTATCTTCAACATGTTATGTAATCAACCTAGGCTATCTCTCGTATAGGCTCAATGCACCTACTTAATTTCAAAACTTCGCTTTGTATTAAATGGCAATCATAATATACAAAACAAGATTTATACCATCAATTTAAAATTAAAAACATATGTGTATGTATAGAGAGTAATTATACTATAAATTATGGTTGCGGTAGAAAAAATGAAATGAAAAAATAACAACACTAAATGAATGCTGATATGATAAACATCACATTGTAACTTGTCTGCATTATACTATGGATGGTACTGCGGCTGAGTGGTAAGGTACATACTTATTCCTTGACGGTTACCAATGTGAGTTTGATTCCCGTTAGGATAACACGCAGTGAGAACCACTTACTGCACAAGTAAATAATGAAAACTACCGTATATTTTTGAGTTTGACTCCCGTAAGGAGAATCACTTACTTCACAAGCACCGTATATTTTGAGTTTGACTTCCGTTAGAATTAAACGCAGTGATAATCACTTACTTTACAAGTAAGTAATGAAATTCACCGTATAACTATAACTCTGGCTTGTGGTGTAACTTTCAAATGCAACAAAACCAGTGAAAGGAGAATCAGAACAACTGACCTGAATCCAAAACTCTTCATACAAACACTCGGCTGTGTGTTTCTGGGTTTCCCAGGGTTTCGGTACAGCACATAGGTCAGCGCCAGTCATCATTAGTGATAATAGAGCTTCCCGATGCTCCTTTAAATTCATGTCAAACTCATTGTTCTCCAGTAAGTTTTCTAGATACTTCTGGTTCCCAAAATACAATGCTAAATCTGTTGCGATAATGACGTGCCTAGAATAAAAAGATAAACTGTGCACATACATGTATTCAAAAACGCATATTAAAATTTAGCAAAGTTTTGACAAAAATGTATTTTATTTATTTGTTATTGGTGATACATGTATATCAAATTTTATGGCTTTTATTGTGAGCGAAGCCGGATTTGAACTGAATATGGCCTCTCTAATTGGATAAGAAACTAGGACAAACTGTAAAAAAACTTTGTTTGTCCAACGTTTAAATTTGCAATGTGGGGCGAATTTCATGCAGAGCAAAGTAATCACATAATAAGAGGTATAAATTGTTAATTAATTTCATTTTTACATAGCTATGAAAGGACACGAAGTAAAAAAAACCTTCGAACTTACCTAATTTTATCAATGACAACTTTGTGTTCGTCTGCTGTCATGAACTCGAACATGTCATGTCCCTCCGCGTGCAAAATAGTTATCGTCTGGTGGTAATGGTGGCTTTCCATAATGGACGAGGAGTACAGGGCTGCGAGGGGAAGGTCCATTTTCTTCATGAAATCGTTGTTGTATCCACGGTGGTCAATATCATGGCAAATTGCACCAACGAGAAGAGCTATCTTCTCATGAAATGTGAACTTTTTGCCTTTTGACGTTATAATCATGCGCCAGATGGCGTGAGCGACGTGAAACGCATGTTCCCAGTTATGGTACGAGACCGGACGGTAATTCTTGCGGACAGTGAGTGTAAATCTACAAAGTGTGTCTATTTTGAACCGATCATCACCAAACGTGTTGTGGATCATTTTAATGTACAGATGTGGCAAAATTTCGTTATAATCGTATGCACAGAAATCAAAGGTGTAGAAATCTGCCGGAATCTTTTCATCTGGCAGACGATACTCAGATTTCAGTGTCACTACATCCTCCTCTGTGCTGGAAATATGGAATTCTAACACTTCCATAGCAACCTGTTCCGAAGACATTGTTAATAAATGGAGTGAAAAATGAATAAACAATATGTGTTATCACATACCATTGCCGCTTTGCGCCTCGTAAAAATAGTATGCACGGTCGTGCATATATTTTGACGTGACGTCATTTTCGTTTTATAAACATAGTGTTAATTAAGACGCTCTAAATTTTAGCGATATACATGTCAAAGAAGGCGCGTCAAAGAAAAGTGTTTCTTTTTCACTTCAAACGGTCTTTATTTTTGGTATGTGATAAAAAGAATATTGAATTCGTGTCAGTTTAAATACTAAATTTATTTTGTGTCATATCGCTGACGTCATCGTTAATATAATACTAGGCCCGCTGACACTTATATAAATAAAGAAGGAACATATTCATGTCAGGTATAATATTTACAATTGTTATTTATTCCTATTATTGAAGCTCGTAAGTTATGCTATTACATGTATATAGTAATATAGATAAAAGAAAACTCTCGCTTAAAATTGTACTGATACATACCTTGTACATGTTTTGTTTACGTGTAAGAATACTGTAAATTCTGGAATAATGAAGTGCTAACGCACAATAAACAGCGAATAACTTGAACGACTCCTCGTCATCTTTTGTGAAATAATTGCCGTCAATCCTGAAGATAAACATAAACAAACAAAGAAATAAATAAGTAAGAATAAAGGAACAGCAGTCATGTCGTAATAGAAAATCAATTGTCAAATTATTTAATTAATGACTTGAAAGCTTTGTAGCGACATTTTTTATCTAATTCATTCTGTGTCTGAAATTTTTAAATGCCATGGATCATAGAGCCAGGCCAGCATGCACTTCTGTAAAGTCTAAACGCCTTCTTTACTGTCGGTGGCATTGTTTTAGCATATAGGTATCAATATTAATATATTATAAAAACTAATTACTTGAGAGAAATTGGTAATTTTCATATTTGTGGCGGCCATTTTGGACGCCATCTTGAATTATCGGTTTCTGTTATATTCCTCTAACAGATTCTTTAGTACCTTTCATGCACACTGAACCCCACTCAGATTCTAGACTATATACTGACATAATGAACAAACCATACCGACCCAGTAAATGTCATCTGTTAAGTTTCTAACTTTACTGGTGGAGTAAGATTTCAATTAAAGAATTCTAGTGATTGTTATTTGGGGGTTGGGGTTGTGGGGAGGGCAGGAGCATATTTTAAGTTGTTGACCGTGATACATGTATAAACGTGTTACCTATTAATCATTTGAACAACTCCTATCACACCTTGTTTCCCGGAAATTGGCATACAGAGGATGTTTTTGGTATGGTACCCGGTCTTCTTGTCTATATCCGGGTTGAATCGGTCATCTTTGTAGGCGTCTTTTATATTCACGATCTGATAATGAAAAAACATTTCCAGAAGTCAAGAATGGCAAATTTTAGCGTTTTTATCCACGGTTGAATTTAAATTGGCTATAGCCAATCCAATACGTTTATGCATTGTGTTGTTAAAGCAAGCAGAGTTCAAGCTAAACTTGTTTGTGAAAAACGCTGCATAGTACGATGTACAATACGTTTCATTCACGAACAGGTAACGCTTTTGGAAAAACTTATCATATCCATTTTAGCCTTTTATTGTTTGAAGGAAAATCAGGGGGATCCAGTGAGGTTTTTTTGACATGACAGTACTTTTATTTCGAGATTGTGTTCCATTTGATGCAAGACCAATAACTTGTGTGCGGAATATCAGATCATTCCCTCACCCCGTTTTCCATCAATAATATTTTTTTTGTACAAAAAAGACCCAAAAATGAAAGGCGATTTTCACTTACTTCTAGCTAAGAATCGTACATCATTTTAATTCTGAGTTTATTTCTTTTTTCAAATTTTATGTTTTAAGCTTTTTGACCTCAGTGGAGCCCCTTTAACCGAATACAGCTCTGCAAACTATTTTTACTGCAATTCTATATATTATTCTTTATAGACTGAAGACAATGCTACGAAATATTGTTTACATAATGCTACAGTTTAACATAATTATTATTGTTTACATAATGATACAGTTCAACATGTTTTTGTTTACATACATAAAGCAGCTTCTAATACTACTGCTTACTCACTTTATGCAGCTTTGTGTCCTAGGTCCATGTCCTTAAGACTTATTTGGACAACTGTTTACATACTTAATACAGTTCTTCATACTACTACCGGGTAATTACCTTAATACTAGTATGGCATTTATTGGTTTTAACGAAACACCACTCTTCATTTAATACCTTTAACAGTTTTAAGATTTTCGCACAACCAACGTTTCAATACCATTATTCATTTACCTCGCCAGTTTCAGCGACATGTCCTGCTATCCCTTTATTTTTGGGGAATCTGATTGGAGATTTCTTTGTTAACTTTGTTGTTCCATCGTCTTCTTTTTCACCATCGTCAAAGATATCAGCAAATAATTCTCCCCTGAAAGGAAGCAACGATACCTTTGGCATTAACTTGTAAAGCGAGTGAGGGATTTTTTAGTATATATCTAATCTGTTGGAATAAACTTCCCGCTCATGTTCCTTGTTGCCTCGTACATGCAATGATCTAAACATAACCATTCTTGTTGACAGTGGTATAGATATTAATACTATTAAACTATAACAATATTTATGACAAAATATAATGAAAACATATAAAAGAAAAAGAAGAATGACAGACTGTAAAGAATTTAGCTATAAAAACAAAAACATATTACTAGTACTTTAAAGGCCTATTATGCCAATCTTACAATTTTATTTTTATGTTTTAAAGATTATTAATTTAATAATTTTTCATTCGTTCCTTTTTACCAATTTGATTATTCCGACTATTTACAAGAATCCCAATATTCAAAAAAAGGTTCAATCTCTACGTACCTTTCATCATCGACTAGGAACAGGGCACATCTGTCGGCGGAGACGAGGTTCTTGGTGAAGATCATGATGTGGTTAATAAGCTGGTCTATATTGTACATATCGTCAAACATTACTTTCGTCGTCTCCAAGAGAAAATCGTTCAAAGCTTCCTGGATTCTCATCATCTGGTTAATTAATTAATCAATTAATTAATTAATTAATTAATTAAAGTGAGTGAGTGAGTGAGTGAGTGAGTGAGTGAGTGAGTGAGTGAGCGAGTGAGCGAGCGAGCGAGCGAGCGAGCGAGCGAGCGAGCGAGCGAGCGAACGAACGAACGAACGAACGAACGAACGAACGAACGAACGAATGAATGAATTTGTAAATATATATAAATGAATAATTGAATGAATGAAGCAAAAAATGTTTCAATCAATCAGTCAAAATAAATAAATAAATGTTCAATCAGCACCTAGAGAGGTCGAGATAGATACTAAGTATAAATGTTTTCTTGCCTCAAACTCCATAAATATGTTTTTGTTAATAAATTACAATGCAAAAGAACTAGTATTGTTTAAAAAGCATCTTTCTTAATAGCGCTTTCTGAGTATTTATTTAAAAAAGAGATTTGGTTTTTAATCATATGTTCTTTAGCAATGTTAAAAGCAAGTTTAACCTTGTTAATATTGATTTTCTGAACACACGCGTTGACCCAGCTAAATATTGCGTTTGTAAGTTCAAAATCTTCATTTGTGAAACAGCTTTCTGTCCATCCACGCGAAAATTCCGCTACAGCAAAACATCGTCCGTCATCTAGAAGAACTGGTATGGCCATGACATGGTGCGCAGTGTCATCACCTAGGGCTATACCTTTAAATGATAAGATTTAGCTTTAGAAATAAAATTATATAGGTATCTTTGAAAACTGACAGTAGTTACTAGATTGGTTATTCTTTATGATCTATTCTAGTTAGATATATGTAGATGTATCAAGTTCAGAAGAAATGTATAAGTGATTTCAAGTTACCATAGTCATCTCTATAGCATAATTCAACAATCAAATTTTCTCTTATCCTTCGTTGTACATTCAAAGAGCTTACATGTAACCACATCATTTTTTGTATCTTTATTTTGAAAATTTACCTTTACTGGAGAGGAATTGATATAAGTATTGTTAACTTGTTTTTCAATATAGTCTGATTTTTCTTGTTGTGAACTGTTTATAAATGTTGTTTATGTACAACTTTTTGGATAAATAAAGTTTAATCTAAGGGACAGTACTTGCGTTTGTTAACTTTGCTTGTTTATCAGCTCTTGTTACCGAGAAGATTCAGAATTTTTATTTTTTCAGAAAAATGAAAAGAAAAGTCTTACCTTTTGGAAATCTCGAATCCTGTGGCAAATCCATGATGTTGAGTGCCTTTTTCTCGACGGCGACATGCGCGGATACTGTTAACTGCCTCCCAACAGGACCGACAATTTTAAACTTCTTTTCAGGTTCGAACAGTGCCAGGTCTACACCGTTTGGCCTTGTAACGTATAGCCTGTCAACGTCCGAATCCACTTTGTGTCCGATAATTTGACAAATTTCATAAATCCTTACACAAAGTTCGTCATCTTTAGAACTTGTTATTATTCGATGGCATAACTCTTCTATTCCAATCTCAGACGAATATTTTATGATATAACTTGCGGCACGTTTCTGTTTATACACAGAATTGTTCTTTTTGATCGCTTTGGTTTTCTTCACTAAGACATCCTGAAGGTATTCAGCAGATACATTACTATGTAAAAGAAAATCCTCTAGAACAGACGGATAACGTGCAATGTACTCTTTAACCTGGTTTGAAATCCCTTTAAAGGATTTGCTGGTCCATCTATCTGAAGCTCTAAAACGTGGAAGGGGCGACCGCCCCCCAGACAACAAACTACGAAATGGCGAACTCATATTTTCCCCTCAGAAAACAACACTTAAAGGTGGTCGCGTTTATTATTTACATTCTGATTAAGACGATACGTTTCTCACAATACCGGTTGCTACCGTAATGTACGTCATTAGCAACGTCATAGTACAAGACATGACGTCGTACGACGTAAAGCGTAAACACATTACAATCAGTAGGATTTCTCAAATTTTTATGGCAAGTTACACATACATGTTTTTTAAACCCGTGCAAATATTTTTAGCATTTTCGTTTCTTAAATCGCAACAATTATCCAGAAGGGCATCGTTTGTCATTCTTGGTATTCTTAATATATTTCGATTCATTTTCAATTTTGTAGCTTATTGGTTTTTTATGCCCCCGCCATATAATGGCTGGGGCATATAGTGTTGCCCTGTTCTGTCATTCCGTCCTTCCGTCCTTCCGTCATTCTGACAATCCGTCATCATCTGTTTCCGTTCATTATCTAAGAAACTGTTGCATATATTCAACTTAAATTTGACTTATGGATATGTCATGAGAAAATACAGGTCAAGTTCGAATTTGGTCATGGTTCGATGATTTTAGGCAGAGTTATGTCCCTTTTACTTTGAAAATAATATGAAATTTTCAGTTTCCGTTCATTATCTCCCCAACGGTTGTACACATTCAACTCAAATTTGACATATGGATACGTCAAAGGAATGCGCAGGCCAAGTTCGAATTTGGTCATGGTTCAATGATTTTTTGCAGATTCATGCTCCTTTCATTTTGAAAATAATATGAAATTTTCAGTTTCTGTTTATTATCTCCCCAACAGTGTTACATATTCAACTCAAATTTAACACATAGATATGTTAAAGGAATGCGCAGGTCAATATCGAATTTGGTCATGGTTTGATTATTTTTGGCAGAGTAACGCCTCTTCCACTTCAAAAATGATATATTTTCAGTTTACGTTCATTATCTCCCCAACGGTATTACAAATTCAACTCAAATTTAACATATGGATAACTAACGGAATGCGAAGGTAAAGTTCGAATTTGTTCATGGTTTGATGAATATTGGAAGAGTAATGTCCCCTTCACTTTGAAAATAATATGAAATTTTCAGTTTCCGTTCATTATCTCCTCTAGAGTATTACACATTCAACTCAAATTTAATATATGGGTACATCAAAGAAATACGCAGGTCAAGTTCCAATTTGGTCATAGTTCGATGATTTTTGGCAGAGTTATGTCCCTTTAACTTTGAAAAAAAGAGGAAATTTTCAGTTCCCATTCATTATCTCCCCAACAGTTGTACATATTCAACTCAAATTAAAGATATGGATATGTCATAAGAATGCACTGGTCAATTTCGAATTTGGTCATGGTTTGACGATAGCTGACAGAGTTATCCGAAAAAAAATCAGAAATTTTAAGTTTCTGTTCATTATCTCCCCATTGGTTGTACACATTCAACTCAAATTTGACATATAGATACGTCTTAGGAAAAAGCAGTTCAAGTTTTAATTTGGTCGTGGTTCAATGATTTTTGACAAAGTTATCTTTCTTGAATGTTGGAAAATTTTGAATTTTCAGTTCCAACGCTCATACTTTTGTGGAAGTGTATATGTAGTCATTATTTTGGCTACACATATGCAATATGCAATTTACAAAAAGTTAACACTGAATAGTTTCAGTGCCTTGAACTTTGTATAAAAATAGTTTGTGTTAACATTGAATAGTTTTAAGGGCTTTGAACTTAAAATGAAAAAAAAAATTGTGCAAACAAATTTGGAACTAAATATTATAACATCTGAAATTTTGGCTGCATGCGGGGGCATCCGTGGCGTGACGACACATTTCTAGTTTTCTTCTTTTTTACACTCATTGACATAATGCATTCTTTATTATGAAAAATATAATTATTTGTTTCTTTGCAATTTTTTTTTTCAGAAGAACGAATTGCTTGGATATCAACAACTGAAACTTTTAGTAACTTTACGAAGATGAAATATATATTTTATTGGTGTTTTTTTTACATTTAAGCTGCATAATTCATTATTGTTGTAATTGTTGTTTACTGTTCTCGTTGTGGTTGTCATTGTTGTTGTTGTTGTTGCTGTTGCTGCCGCCGCTGATTTGTTGTTGTAAATGTTTATCTATATTTTCACTCTTCTTATCTATTTATTTATTTATTTATTTATTTATTTATTTATTTATTTATTTATTTATTTATTTATTTATTTACCTATTCATTTATTTCCATTATCATTGTCATTATCGGTATTAATATCATAATGATAATAATAATAATTATTATTATTATTATTATTTTTATTATTATTGTCAGAAAGCGTGTCGCGAAATTTACATTTAACCGTCTCTTCTTCTTTTTCTCCTTCGTCTATTGTTAGAAATCAATGGCTTGTCGGGATATTAGCAAACTGGTCGATAAACAATAATCTGGAAAAAAGTTTGATCCATCCGAAACATTAATCACAACAAAATAATATGAAAAATGCAGACTCGGTTTGATTGAGTCTGTACATGAAGAATAATGAAAAAGCGCAAAATCCCTCACACTCCCCTCTCCTTAACACCGGCTTGAGCGGTACTTATTTTTCAACACTTAAAGTGCTGGAATCAATGATCCCGAAGGACCAGAAAAATTTAACAACACTTAAGTGAAGTACGGGGCAATTTTTTACAGCTACCACACGGCACTTGACATCTGCTGTTGTGAACTATAAAATCTGGTAAAAGGGTGATCCTTCGGAATCATAAATGACAACAAAATAAAAAATGCAGACTCCATTTGATTGAATATGTACATGAGGATAAATGAAAAAAGCAACATCTCTCGCGCCCCCTAGCACCGGCTTGAGTGGTACTCAATTTTCAGCACTTAAAGTGCTGGAAACAATGATCCCGAAGGACTAGAAAAATATAGCAAAACGGAAGTTAAAACAACGTTTCGCGTGAAACATAAATCATGCATAAATTACAGAATCAGATAGCGCTCTTTCTGTCCCAAAAAAAAAACAGCAAAAAAAAACACAACATATTACTATTACTAGTTTATATAACTATAAAATAACTTATGCCATTTACGTCTGATGTTTTTGGATTTATACGCGCGAAGAAGGAAATCGAAGTTTATAAATGTACTAAACGAAGAATTTTATTTTTGGTCATAAATAAAACAGTTATTTATGATTACTTCGGCGAGATAAATAAATTATATTGTTAATGCGTGTGTACGAAATAGCACATATCTTCACGCAAAATAGTATAAAAATGTTTTATAACATAAAACACAGATAAAAGGTACTGATTTCAGCATTTGTCATTAAACACATGATTGCTCAAGCATTGAAATGATAAGTTAAAGCAAGCATTTGCACTGAACCTCTATTAATAATATATAAATACTCCATGGCGACCTTATCAAAAACTCAATCGTTAATGAGTTCAATACACAGAAGAAGAAAAAACATCATATAGGATATACTTGTTTTTCATTAAATTTGCTTTTTGTATCTGATAATTTTGTAATTTGATATTGAACATGTGAAATTGGCCCCATATCACCTCGGTGATTAATTAACCCAAGAGCGTACAAAATTGTATACACATGTACATGTATTTATTGCTAAAGAGGATTGATCGAGGTCGAGGTGCATGATAAATTATTTATTGCGTTTTCGGCATGCATTTTCCCAATTTAATAGATGGAATTAAATCAAACGAAATACCTTAATGATTTTTAATTAATTGAAGAATTAATTAATTAATGAATTAATCAAATTTAATTAATTAATTAATTTATTAATTACATTTACATATTAATTAATTAATTAATTAATTACTTAATTAATCAAAATTTTTAATTAATTAATTAATTAATTAATTAATTTTTCAAATGATTAATTAATTAATTAGGACCAATCATATTTTCCTCGAGGCCTTCGAAGAAACATTTACATATTCATTTATACATTTGCTCAAACAAAATTATATTCAGTATATAAAAAGATAATTCATAGTACAATATTGATGAAATAATTAATGTTGTAAATAAGATTGGAGCACGAACCTTTTATTTAAAGACCATTGAGTCACCATTAAGCTATCATTTTTATTTCTCAAAACCATTTTTACTTAAGGTATCTTTTTACAGTTATGGGCCATATCGATGAAATATCTTTTGCTTATTTTGCTCTTTGGCCATTAGTATAAATATAGTGAATAAGTATTTTGTATGGAAGTCAAAATACTACTTTGTTTACATTTTGCTATCTTAACAGCACATTGCACATTTTTTTGTATTTGTATCGAAAATGTGTTGAGCTATTTTTTTTTCTTTTTTCTTTACTTATTACATGTATGTATAACTATTATTATTATTTGAACTTACACATATCAACCACACTATCACTGCGTATAGTACTGAAATAGTACTCGGATTTAACATTTAGCTGTACAATATTATTGCCTTGTGAAGATTGCCTCATCTTTGTGCCAATCTTTAATATGTAAATTAGTAATAAACCAGTTAATATCATGTTTACAAGTATTACGTAATAAAAGAGTTGCCAGGTCATATTTTCATCCAGATTATACTATAAAAAGTCAATGTTTCAATATTTAAGCATTATTTGTAAGTTTATAACTTGTTTGGTTTGCAAACTTGCAAAATAAATTCTTTTAAACTTACATATAACATGTTTAATCAGGTTCAAGCAGTAAAATTAATTAAAAATTTTCTCCACCACTGCTCTTTACAATCATAGTTAACTTCTATGAGATTTCAATTTTTTGATAAAGTCTCAAATTTCAGATAGATTTATTTTATGTCTAGCACGTTCAATAGGAGTTTAATCATTCAAATTCTTCTTACATATAGCTGTCAATTAAGGTAAACAATTTTAGACTATTTACTAGACACAAGTAAATGAGAATTTAATGTCAACTTTTCACCTTGACTTTTAAAGTATTTTTCAACTAAAAGAACTGAAAATATCAGTCCGTTATAAAATGTCTATTTAATTTGAAATGCTTAATAGGTTGGAGAAGAATGAATGTGTACTGTCCGTATAAACAGGTGATTTAAACACAAAAGGAGTTTATAGTAAAAGAGCGACCTGGCCATAAGACGTGACAATATTTTATGTATTAACATTTAAGCCGTGTCATGACGAAACCAACATAATGGGTTTGCGACCAGCATGGATCCAGACCAGCCTGCGCATCTGCGCAGTCTGATCAAGATCCATACTGTCCGCTATCAGTTTCTCTACATGTAATAGACTTGGTAAGCGAACAGCATGGATCCTGATCAGACTGCGCGGATGCGCAGGCTGGTCTGGATCCATGCTGGTCGCAAACGCACTATGTTGGTTTTGTCGTGACGGGTCTCATTTATATATAATTATATTTGACAAAAGATTCTTTTTTGTATTGATGTCCCGGATAAAATGTTGTGCGATTATATGAGAAACTATGTCATTCTGGGCGTAAGAAACTCCAGGGGACTGGAACAAAGTCCTCTTTCGTCAGTGAGTTAAGGTTTCAAAAATGTTAAACTATCGCAAAAATATTTACAGTGTATATTATAATTATATTTTTATAATAATATTATTTGATATTTTAATTATTCTAGACTACTCTTTAACCAGACAAAATCACTTGATTTATAAACATTTACATAAATCTAAAGACATGTTGGCCTTACACCTTGTAAAAAACACCAAAAAACAACTCACGGTCTTTTTTCACATCATTAAATGAGCCGCGTCATGACAAAAACCAACACAGTGCGTTTGCGACCAGCATGGATCCAGACCAGCCTGCATCATGCGCGTAGTCTGATCAGGATCCATGCTGTTCGCTTACACACCCTATAACAAATAGAGAAACTGATAGCGAACAGCATGGATCCTGATCAGACTGCGCGGAGGCGCAGGCTGGTCTGGATCCATGCTGATCGCAAACTGACTATGTTGGTTTTGTCATGGCGCGGCTTAAATGTATTCCTGTTAAAACTTCAAAAAAATCAAGTAAAGAAAGGACAATGTACTATCATTCATATCTGACTAGATTTATATTTGTATGTAACTATACAGTCAAACCTGTGTTAAAGATCACCTCCGAATAAAGATCAACATGTAAATAAATGCCACTCTCTGACAATTCTTCGTTGATTAAGAAGAACAAGGTAACCTCCAAACGAAGCCAACTTGTGTATAAAGGCCATGTTCGGTGTCACCCCTTGGATGGCATTGAAACCTCGGTTTATAGGAGTAAAACAAGATTTCTTTTTGTACTGTTTTTATTCATTTTACTTTTTTTTTGTTTTGTTTTTTTTTGTTACAGAGACAAGTTTGTCGCGCGAAATCCGTCGAAACTGAAAAGTAGAATGGTCTTATAAGTTTAACATTATAACATAGTAATATTATACATGTACAATGTTTCTTATATCTTTACAAATTAGATATTACAAAGATAAACATATACCTAAATTAATGTTAGCTTAAAGAAACATTTTAGTTACAAACAATGTAATGAAATGTCCCTTAGACAATAAATTTAGGTAATTTTCATTCTTTAGTGTACCTGGAAAGCCTTTGCTTCATAAAATAGTAAAAAGGTACACTTACTTACACTCGTATATACAAATACATGCATATTATATGAGCCGCGCCATGACAAAGCCAACATAGTGCGTTTGCGACCAGCATGGATCCAGACCAGCCTGCGCCTCCGCGCAGTCTGATCATGATCCATGCTGTTCAGTTTCTCTACTTGTAATAGGGTTGGTAAGCGAACATCATGGATCCTGATCAGACTGCGCGGATGCGCAGGCTGGTCTGGATCCATGCTGGTCGCAAACGCACTATGTTGGTTTTGTCGTGACACGGCTCATATATTATATTAAATATATTATGCATAAATTTTGTTGCAGGGAATAAGAGCATCACAGTCATAGTCTTAACATTACAGGTACCATGCAACTCACATACAAAATTTTAATATACGATAGGACTGTATGAGAAAAAAATAATGTCCGGCATGCAGTCATTTATTAAAGCAATTCCAAAAATGACAAAATGATATAATATTCAGTTTCACGGCCACTTAAAACGACCACTTGTTAAAATCAAACAAATTTTATATATAAAGACTTATGCACATGGTAAAACTTATAAATGTGTGGCCGCATGCCTAAACACCAATTACAGTTGATTTTGATTTATTTAACCGAGGTAGCAACACAAAACGATATCCGACATCTGGGTCCCAGCCGACATATATAACTTCCTTGTGGGACGTATAATATATCATGCATATAGCTTGTATTGTATAGATAATCCACCAATGAGATCGATTTTAACATTTAAACATGCGTGAAATATCCACTTATTGATCAGAAAGTTGACCATTTTGCGAAATGCATCGGTAGATGTTATATCGCATGCTTGTATATCTTATAGTTAAAATATCATTCTTACAATAGTAATGCAATGTAATTTTTATAACTGCAAATAACTTTTACTATAAATTACTTCAGTATTCATGATGACGCTGAACTGCGTCAAAATGTTGCTGCTTTTATTAATAGCTCTGTCGGATGCGGCGGGAGCTACGGACTGTTCAAATTTTATTAACAACGGAAAGCTGGAGATTCCCGACAACATAGACTGTACTTTACCGTCGGACATAACCGTCGATGATCTAATAGTGCATGGAACAATAAGATTAAATTCGGGGAATCCGGTGACGATTTTTGCTCAGAAAATTGATGTAAAACCTGGTGCTAAAATTTCCGCCGACGGCCTCGTCTATAATAAAGCCGGGAAAGGAAACAGTTTCGGATCTGGAGGTAGGCTTCCTTTCTGATAAGCTTATGTAAATTATGAACACAATTATTGTTTACGAGTTTTATTTCTATTATTATTATTATTATTATTATTATTATTATTGTTATTATTATTATTATTATTATTATTATTATTATTATTATCTTCAAAATATCTTGCGACGTCTGTTTGAATTTTATACTTTAGTAGTTTAGTAGTTAATCAGATAGTAACTATTTGATTGCTGTGTAATAGATAAAATCGCTACTATACCGAGTGTACATTGTCGCATGATTTATTCATTTACCTATTTCATGCATTTTTAAAGCATGTTCGTCACGCGCTTTAATTCTTCTTCATTCTTTTTATTTCCATTATTATCTTATGCTAACATAAGTACAACAAGTTTTTGCTCATCCACTCTTTTCGGTGAAAAAATGTCCTGACATAATCTTGAAAAAGTATCGTCGGGCTCGACTTATATATAGCCACAGTATAAAGATATTTTACTTTGTAAGCTTACCCCAAGAACAAATTGTCCTAGAAAAAGAGGATCTAGTCGTGACTTTGCCCTTATTTAGTTTAACAATAGAGAATAGAAACACGGTTTTTATTTTGTTATTCATATTTCTTTTTATGTTTGTTACTTATACATGTATAATGATTTTCATTTTGCTATTTATTAATTTTAGTTCAGTTTGTTTGATATATTAATTACTTCTGTATGTACAAGTTAAGAAAGTACTCTGTTCTATTCTATGTATGAGAATCGTTTATTTATTTTAATCTTGCAGCGACAACCTAATAATCACTTTCTACTTAATAGTCAGATAGATAATGAATTCAAAAACACATCCTTAGACTAAACTCAATTGTCCATATCCGACAACAGTCTCCAATATTACTTCAAACGGATATGTTTACAATTAATTAGATGAGAGCAATTACCAAAGTCAGTATGATTTTAGGGTCTTTTTCCCGTTATTAACATCATTTGCCGATCATCATGTCCCGCGCTCTTGATGCGTTGCAGTCAAACAGTAAAGAGAGAGAGGACACTCATAATCTTTCATAGCTTTCTGTCAAATCCCAAAATGTATTGTGTAAATATTGTTCATCGTGCAAAATGTAAATATATCGAATAAATCTGTTTAAACCAAATAATAACGAGATCTATTACATACTTATAAATGAAATATTGAGAAATATTGATGAAATAAAATGCGTTTTTTATTTTCCGTATTTTCACTGTAAAAATTTATATTTCACTGCAGTGAAACATATTTTCCGTATTTTCACTGGAGTCTTGCCGGACTACTTTCTTCTTAATTCAGCCAATACACAAAACTAAAAGGCAATTCTTCCTATACCAAAGGTTAAAAAATGAGAAAAAGAAAAGTATATAATAAACAGAAAATTCATTTTTTTCTATTAATACAAGATTCATTTTCATCTTGTGGTATGAAAACTATCAAATTTCACTCATGGCTACTGCCACTCGTAAAATATTTATTTTCATACCACTCGATGAAAATAAATTCTGTATTTTATAGAAGAAACTTGAATATCTTCTATATATTGTACGACCTCACTTAAATAGAAGACGATGAACAGATGATGATGATTGATTGATTGATTGATTGATTGATTGATTGATTGATTGATTGATGATGATGAACAATACATAATATGTTTCTAAACTATGCAAAGTTAAAACCATCAAATCTTGTATCAATCTTATTAAGATAAAGTCCTAAATTACATTACAATTTAAAGCATGAGATCCAAACTTAAGATTGACCCCATGCATTTAGGTGTCAACATTATTCTAAAGATTGTAGTCATAAAGAAAAGATGTGCCCAATAGTTTGTGCAATTTATTAAACTCAAGATAATAAGCAATTTGTATTCTTTGGTTTTGCAACACTATACTTCGTCAATGTATTTTTTTAATGCACACGCACGGTCGCATCTTTTCGGCCCTTTCCGTCAAACTTCGGATAAGAACCTCGAAGTAAGAACGGTGTTGTTGAAAAACTAGAAATAAATAGTAATGAAAAGCAAATAAAAGTTCACCTAAATTAAGTAAAATTGATAAAAAGTAAACAGTTCATTATTATCATAATTATTATATAAAATGTCTAGCTGTTGGGTTATAATTGTATATCAGTGGGCATTTTCTTTAAATATTTTCAATCATAATTTTACCAAAAAAGTCATTATTTTCCTTTAGATGTCAAATATCTACATTAGATACGCATTTTTTGTTTACAACTTAAATCACGTTGAGGTTATTATGAATAACATCCGAGTAGTTCCGATTGTGCACGCGCTGTATGTTACACCGAGTATGTCGCAACGCGGCTTAAAGTCACGTGCCTCCAGAATCTACAGTCTACAGTTGTTGAAAGAAATTGACTATTGTTTGTGTAAAATATTTTTATTTACAATTTCGTCAAATGAGAGACATTTTTTTATTTTCGTATACAAATAATGAACCGTACAACTGTCAGATTCCGAGTACATCTTTCGTACCACCCAATCACTGTAGTGACACTTGACTATGTTGAAGAAGTAACGTAACAGATAATACCAAGAAGAAACACGTTCTTGACAATTTTGTCAACATTATTTGTTGGACGGTAGAGTAACATTGTTCTTTCTTTTCACCATCTGGAGGCGTGTGGGTTTAATATTGCACTTGGCATAAATGTCTCAACATTGCCGTTATATGTGGTAATCACCATTTAATGTCGTTAAATGCCGCAATGGTAACGTAAAATGTTGTCGGTGAGCAATCTTTGTATCTTGGCAATGTATTGTATTAAGTACGTTAATATCAATACGCCACTTTAAACGGCTTGTTGTTGTTGTTGTCTTTGGTGTTGGTGCTTGTGGTTCTACTGCTACAGCTTATTTTAAGTTATTTTTATTTTAAGTCCGTTTTGTAAATAACAAAATTGTACACTATTATTTGAATAATGCTCTTCCCTAATTCTATTTGTTAATCTATAACATAACACGTAAATAACCGTCATCGAACTTTGCCGAATTCATTAGGGCATTTAGCAGCGTTTGCGACAATTAAATGGCGGAAAGTATGGAATCTAAGGAAAAGGGACAGCAATGACGTTATAAAGTTAACAGATAAAACAAATATATTATTTTATAAGTTGTATCTAATGTAATGCTGTTGAAATTCAAACATCAATGATTTATTGGTTAAAAAAGTAATAGAAAATAAATGAGACAGCGCACTTAATTTTTTAACATGAACTTAAATAAATTGCCGGGGCTTCAATGATTTACTGTGAATTGTTAAGTAACGAATAAGATTTTTTACGTATGTATTGTATATAACCCTCCCTAAATATGTTTCTTTCTTTCCTTTATTTAAGCTTTGGATCAAAATATCGCTACATGGGTCCGGTAATGAATCATTCATTATCTTAAGATGTTGTTTTTTGTAAGAGAGATTTAGAAGCGTAATCTTGTAAAAGTTATAAAACACCAAACGCACATTTTTCTTCTTCATTTTTTTCTGAGATCAAAAGAAACGATTTTTATTTTGTTGTGTTTTTTTTTTGTTATATATTTGTTATGTTTTTTGTTTATTTTTATAGATGTGTTTTGTATCCTACATGTTATATCAAAGATAGATTTTATATCAGTCACTGCTTACCTTACTGAATTACAATTTAACAAAAAAATAAAGCGAACAAAGTTTCATATCTTCCCTTTCCTATGATTTTTAGCTATGGATAAAAGTAAGAAAATCTCAGAAAAACATGCCTCGTTTTATTTATTAGGTGGCTATGGAGGTCGAGGTGGCAGTCCAGCCAATATGTTCCTGACAAAATCCGAATCTGTTGCCCATGGAAAAACTGCTGGTCCACTAACAACCGGAAGTGAAGGCGGCGGGCCTGGTTTTGGTTCAGGTGGAGGCGCTATAGTTCTCAACGCCACAGAGTCCATAGAAATCAATGGTATAGTGTCAGCCAACGGAGGTGATGCGACAGGAACCGTCGGTGGAGGTGGTAGTGGAGGGAGTATATACCTGATAACAAAAACTATTCAGGGATCTGGTGTGATATCGGCACGCGGAGGAGACGGAAGTGGTAGCGGTGGCGGTGGTGGCGGTGGCAGAGTAATACTCAAGCATGATACAATGTTGTCTACTGTTGAGGTTTTTGCTGACGGCGGACTTGGGGGTACACGCATTATTATGTTTTCATAATCTTTACTAAATGAGTAATAATAAAAATGATAAGTCTAAACAAATAGGCTATTTCCGATAATAGTCACCCCTAACAATGATTATAGTGGTCATTTTGTTGTTGTCATTACTCTTATTTTATTGACGATGATGACGATGACGACGACGATGATGATGATGATGATGATGATGATGACAAAGAAGAAAATGATGATAATGATGATGATAATGATAATGATGAGGTAATGATAATTAAAATGACGAAGACGACATAGATGATGATGATGATGATGATGATGATGATGATGATGATGATGATGATGATGATGACGATGATGATGATGACGACAACTTATAATTTACCTAAAAAAATCAAAATCAGAGGTTTTTGAACTTTTAATTTTAAGTTCATTTGACCTTTTTGATGTATTTTAAGTAATCTTTATCAATTCACAATAGATCTCTTTTCACAAATTTAAATGATATTTTCCCCTTCTTTTCAACGACTTTATCGGGACATCTAAAACTTATAATTACTTATAGATGATAATTGAAAACGACCATGTTTTGTACAAACAGGATTTTGATGTCTTTAAACTAGTTCAAATAAACAGTAACGGACACAATGCTTCTCGTGTCAATGTAATGCATGTTCAGGCAATTTGATACTTAAAATAATCTCATTTTAACATTAATATATTGACATCTCCGCGCACTGTAGAATACGTCCTTGGAACATAATAGATCTCCTATTGAAATCATTCTTCGTTTATAAAAAGAAGTTAATTATCCTAAAATTTTAATGCATAGATCTATAGTATGTTCATTCCTTTTTTTTTTTCTTTTTAAAAAAAAATAATTTGACAAACATATTTCTACGTGTGTGTCTCACGTTTTTTCATAACATAAACATGTTTTGTTTACTAAGAGAAAAAAGGAGTTCCCTCTGATTATTTAAAAATGTAAATTAAAGACCTAAAATAAAATTTTGCATAATAATTTCTATGTATTTTTGACGTCCTTAATGTCCTGTTTATGAATGAGATAAATATATTTTGATTTTTAGATCACGTACACTGAAGAATTTATATGAAAGGATGAATAAGCCCGAATTCAATGTAATTAACGGTTAAAAAGTTCAGTGATCTCGTTGGCTTTATTGAACTGGGTACTATGGTACCGGGGACCTACCCGTAATGATCCCGTACTTCTTATGAACTTATAATATATCGCACAGTTGTTGTTCTCTTCTTTACAATAAAATAGTGTGATAAGGCACCAATGACACATTCTATTACTTAACTTAAACATATCTTTTAGCATTTGATCTGTTTATATTTACAAATTTGTAATTTCTTTAAAGTTAATATTCTTATTATGATCCACCTGCTTGAATTTTGCACAGATGAAGAAAAAATTCTTAATTTGCGGCGTCTTCGTGTAGATTTTTATTCTTGTTTGCTTGTTTTTCGCGTACAAAGACCAGGACGGTTAGTTGCTTTCGGGCGTTGTTGCTAGACATTGACGAACATATTTGACGAAAATGTTTATTCAAATATCAAGTACATTGACTTATTAAGAAAATAATTTTTTTTTTCGAATTTTCTTTAAATTTTTCTTCTCATTCTTTTACAGCTTAGCATCAGTTGTTTTAAGCAGGTGTACGCTCGTGTATTTGTGAATTAGCAGAGTGAGTCGTCAATTGAACGCTCAATGTGTACTTGGGACTCAAAGCCTTAAAGCATTAATTTTTTTGTATAATTTACCCGCTTTTCATTGTTAAAAAATCGCCCATGAGTGACAAAGTTATGGACCGGACAAAAAGTGGACAGACGAACAGACAGACAAGCAGGCATAGAAGATAAACTTAAATAAAATTAAATATACATTCTGGCCGACTAGCCTGGCTTTCTTCTCATCGTCACTGCCTGCATTCACTGAGTAAATCCCTAATCAAACAATACTTTTTTTAAACTCTTCAAATGAATCAAAATTATGGCATGAATAAATCATTAGGGTCTATAAATTCAGACCTACTTCAAGTAAATGACATAAAGGTTAAGAAGTATGTATAAAACATATAGTCGCTGACAGGAGACGCACAACTAACATTTAAACTTGATTTATATTGGTTTTAACTACAGTGTTGACAAAGTAAAGAAAAAAATCTTTTTCGCCGATTTTTACATTTTTCATTCATTTTCGTATATAAATCGGTGTGAATAGATAAACTCAACGTTTTAGTAAGTTTTGGCGGGTGAAAAGACGATATATTAGTATTTTATCATTCAAACACATTGACCGGTATGTACCGGAATACGGTATTAAGTGCGGTCCACTAGCACTTTTTTAGTATCATTCATTTATCCTTAACAGGCACGACAGAAGCACTACTTCCACACACGTCAATGTTAGCAACCTCATATGAGAGCAGTACTTATCATCCATCAAAAGGATATATAGGTACAAGCAGTACATTATGGCGCCCAAGAACAATTTATTATTCTGGTAGCTACCTTGAGATGGTACTAAATTCGAATTACTACGTCACAATGATACAAACCAAAGGCGGTTCGAGCTACTACGTAACATCATTTACGGTCCGGTATTACAACGTGTCTTCGAATGTTTGGGTATGCGTTCTTTTTCAACAAAAAATAAAGTAAAGAAAACATTTATTCTGCAGACAAAGCTTTAAGATGCCTTACTAAACGTGTAAATATGTCAAGCCATTATGAAAGTCAGAAAAGGTTTTTGCTCACAGCCTGCTCCTTACAAATGCTTCACAAATTCACAATATGATTTCAATTCACTTTTTGTATATAACACTTAACAAAATACAAGTAATGTATACATATAATTATTACATTTATTTTGGCTTGACTTTGAAAAAAGCTTGAAGTTTATTTGAGCAGTGCCCGATACAGCTGACACGGCAGATCGATGATATAGCCATAGTCCCAGGTGGGCTCGAATCAATGCTTCCTGTCTTGGGAGGCAGACACCTTTACCACTAAGTCATCTTTTCCTATGTATCCTTGCATTGTACATAATGGCTGAAGTCTGCGGTCAACATAGATATGCATAAATTATAATCATAGTTTTTGTTGTGTAAAAAAATGAGTGATAATAATTGCATGTCAATATTTTTATGACTTTCCAGCAAAGTCTCGGAGACGAAAATTACGTTTTCAGCAGCCCTACCAGTGCACTGAAAATATTCAAACTCCCAAGACCGGTGTTTACCTCTAGAATTCGACTGTATCCAAAGACTTGGAGATCTGGAATTGAATTGGCTTTTAGATTGTATGGGTACACAGAAGGTAGGGTAACTATTTAGACATAGATTTTCTGAAATTATTGTGGTACAATTTGAGAAGCAAGTTCCATTGATTTCAAGATTGTTGTTTATATTTTCTTACTGTTTTTTTGTTCACTCTTTAAAACAATGCAAAGTTTTATTTTTACCAAATAGTTTCTAACTGAAACAGATATAAGTTGTTAAATAGGTTTTAGGTTCAAACAAAAATTACACTAAATGTTCACACTTAAACTTGGGGCATTTAAGTATTAATTATAGTTGTAGGCTGTGTTAATGCTTACTTCAACCCTTAAGCCCCCTAATACTCGGATGTTTTTTAAAAGATGCCGTATCCGTCGGAAGGCGTCTTTTTGATATAGTGTTTCGTGTGTTTAGGCACAAGAAATGTGCACTACCAGTTGCGTGACGAAAATAGAAGCAGCGAACTTTCATGTAGTTCTTATTGTATAGGTTTCTCAAAACATAATCATGTGACGCATAATTAGAGCTGTATTAGGGATATGATAAGATCGTTAAGGTAAGAACGAGGCTCGGCTGATTTATTGTCATGCACGTTATCAAGAAGGCTCGATCCAGCCAACATCGGTACGAAGACGGGCTGAGGCATAGTGCCCAGTAATTGCCGGGGAAAAACCCACCAGACATCAGTAACACTACCGTCCTCTGGAACAGGAAATCCTTCTATCGCATAAAAAACATTGATTTATGATACGTCGTGGTACGATCCTCTACAGCATTAGGATATTCATTCATTTTCACCGATCAACACGTTATTTCCTTACCCTCTCGATCTCGATCTTAAAAGTAAACTTATGTTACATTACAAGTGATGATTTCATCCATGCGTTTTCGGGCAGCATTCTTGTACCTTTCGAGCTCCCTCTTTTTTGGTTTTCAATACGGAGGTGTAGCTTTAAAACATCTGTCAGTATCTTAAAAACTGTCGACGAATAATACTACATAAATCTCCTCACTATATAGAGGGAACATTTCCGGATGTTGCTTTAGCAGTTTTGCCAGATAAGGGTTAAAGTTTGATATCCGTTCTACCGGATTTGAATACCCAGACCCATCACCTAATAATAGGGTACTAACCCCATATATTTTGTCTACATCTAATTAAATATCAGGTACGGCAAAGTTATAAAATGCGCAACTTAACAATACCATCTTTGCTCTTCTTAAAATATTGTCTCCTTGAGTGTTATATTGAATCGAATGTACATAATTATAATAGTAAGTTAAAATGAAAGTCTAATTCACCCTGTATGTAGTTCTTCGTGCATAATACGTACATGTAGTTTAGAATCTAGCCTTCTTAAACATGTACAACACTTGCCCGATAAGCCCGATAAGAACTAAATAACAATAAAAAATTAGACTGAGTAATACTATACAAAACACAATCATATCACAATCACAACTTGATTGCTTTCAAAATGAATACTGACGCTGCATTTTTAAAATGTGTTTCTTTGATAAAAATGTTTATTTTTAAGGACCGGCAATGTTTAAAGCTGGAACATGCACACCTGCAAGTGAAGGTAAGATAAATACAAACATGACAAATGTCAACTAAAATCCTTATGAAATTGTAATACATTTAAGCTTTGCTGTCAAAGAGTGTTTTTTATTTACTGTTATGGCTCTCTAAGCACAATAACTGTTAAAAATTTTACCTTGCAATAAATCATTGAGTGTCAGTTTCACTTTCGAAATGCAATTAATTTATGTAGTTTTAAAAGTAGCTCAACGCAACTACATAAACTTGTTATAGTTATTAAACTGTCCTTTTTCACTTTTCTTATCTTTGCTCGAGGATATGTATGATGTAAAATAATGAATATTTAAGGGTCCCCTGGAGGTCCTGGTACAGCCTATTTTTGGAAGCCTGGCTACTCAACACTTGTCGTAAACAACTTCGGAAAGAATGCATACATAAAGATGGATAGCAGATGTGAAGGGTTAGACATTTCAAATCAAGGTGATTTAGTTTTGACATTAAGCTACCCATACTAGTAGTACAAATATATAACAATAAATGTGACATGTAATTGTACCCTTACTAGTTTTATTGATATTTAACAATAAATGTACAACAAGGTGCAAGTGCATTAGTAAAAATTTTAAGTCTTTATATTTGTTGACGCAGCTGCATCATTTACGTTGGTTATGTTTATTAAGAGAAATCATTATCAATATTTCAGATTGTTCGGATAAGCTCTTCCATAATACATGTACTTAAATTATCTTAAGGCTGAAATAATGTATAAATCAAGAATAATGCCGCATTGGCCATGGTATGACAAATGGTTGAGAGGACTTTTTGTTATCTCTGTGTTGTTATGCATTAACTTTTCTCACATTGTTACCATTGCAGGTGCTGCCGCATTTCTTTTGGACACTATACAAGACATTGAGGACATTATCATATACGACGGTTCTCATGTGGTAATTGGAGCAAATCAAATAGTTTCTAATATCATTTCGGTTGGGGACCCTATGATACATGTCATCGGCGATAAAAATTTGCAGGTCAACGAAAGAATGACCGCACACGCTGATGTTAAAGTAGGTTCCGCATTGAAATTATTTGCTGTGCCAGCAGTAGAGATTGTCAGTACTATATACATCAGTGGCGATTTACAAGTTTCAGACCAATCTTTTATTCTCAAGAGTCCGGCAAATCTGACTATAAATTCCACCACAACAAAGCAAATCAATTGTACAAAACTAGATATTGGGACAAATGCAATATTCAGTATTCTAAACGATCAATTCAATATTGAAACCACTGAAATCAGTGTTGACGGTGTATTTAAAGCTCACAAGTTACAACTAAGTGATATCATAAAGAATTTCATTGTAAAAAGCAGCGGTAAGGTTGAGTTTGATCCAGTTGGATCTGATATGCACCTTGGTCAATATATTGATATTAGAGGCATCGTTGCATTACAAAGGCACATATCAAACTTTGTCGGTTGCACTGACTTTCTATTAGATAACGGTAAACTTACTTGGCCCCAGATATCAGACATAATCACGATAGCGTGTTCAAATGTAACACTAAACGGTATATTTAGTCTCAGTAAAGTATCATTCGGACTTGGTATTAAGAACTTAAGAATCGGATCAGCAGGGGTATATACACTAAAAACGGCCGGGTCAATCCAAGCAGACACTTTTATCATAGAAGGACATTTGGCATTTGATAATTTGACAATAAACGCTAAAACAATTGATATAAGAGCTGGAGGCAAAATGACAGTTGATGGTGTCGGGTCAATTCAAGCAGACACTGTTATCACGGAAGGACATTTGGCATTTGGTAATTTAACAATAAACGCTAAAACAATTGATATAAGAGCTGGAGGCAAAGTGTCAGCTGATGGTGTAGCAACAAGTGGCCCCGGCAGAGGCAACTCGAATGGCTCTGGAGGTAAGTGGGTAAAACTGTCAATCATCTTCGTTAATAATACAGTCACCATTGCCTAAACATATTTCAAACATATTGGTTAAGCTTTCAAAGTAACTTCCTCCATATATGGAATGATCGTCACTTTCTTTCTTAATGTAAAATCATTAAAATGTAAAATATAATATTATTATCTAGGGAGTTATGGTGGTCGTGGCGGAAGTACAGCAAACGTCTTCCTGGCAAGAACCGATTCTGTTCCATACGGAAGCTTTGTCGAACCACTGAACTTTGGTAGTCCAGGTGGTGGTGTCTATGGCGGGAAAGGTGGCGGTGTAATTTTCCTAAACTCGAGCGATTACATTGCTGTTAACGGCATTCTCTCTGTAAATGGCGAAGATGGAACTGGTGCGAATAGCGGCGGCGGCAGCGGCGGCAGTGTTTTTCTCCATGCTAATACAATCCGAGGGTCTGGAGTCATATATGCGCGTGGTGGTAATGGATTTGGTAGTGGTGGTGGTGGAAGTGGTGGAAGGATTGCCCTCAAACACAACACGTTTTCCTCAACCCTTGCAGCATTCACTGATGGTGGACTAGGCGGTAAAAGATATTAAACTTTAACTTCTGTCACGTGCATGGTTTTCTTAATTCTATACCGATTAAATGACTGAATAGATTACACGAAAGCTTATTTGCAAACAATGAAGTTACATGTCACCACTTCGTAATCTGCCCATATATCGTTATTTAAGTCTCAAATGTTATAATTACTAAGAACTTCGTCTCAAAATTATTTTTTTTTATACACTGAAGTTGCAAAAGCAATTATATTACTTATTTTAGCACCGTTTACAAACTGTACATACAATAGTTGACTGGCAATTTTGAAGGACATATATTATATATGAGCCATGGTTATCTCTCAGTATCATTAATCAATGATGATATGTTGTAAAATTTTGTTATTCAATTGAACAAACCATCTTATCATTTATATATCATACTAGTATTTATGTGCCGATCATTTTCATTGTTTCATTGGGTCCTCTTATTAACGTATGTCAACTGTCAAACTAGAAAGAGTAGCACCGTTTTTCAAAGTGTGTGTATTGAGACCAAATACTTCTATTTTGACAAAATAAATAACTATGTTTTAAAGGTAATGCTGAAGGTGCGCTTGTACATTCATCTATGGCTGCCAGCTCCTCAAGTTCAAACTATTATCAGAGCTATGGATATCTAGGACAAAACCCTTTGCGTTCGTGGCGTCCTATAGCGACTACTAACGCCTTTCTGGAACAACGACTGAGCACGCATTCCTACGTTACATCAATAGAAACACGCGGAGGACCTTCCTCAAACTATTATGTGAAGTCGTACAATGTGCTATTCTACAACACAACTGCTGGGTCTTGGGTAACTAATGATATTTAACCTTTTAATTTTTATACGATAGATGGATCTTTTTTATTTTGGGGTCGCAGGGCCAAAGTTTATGGTCACATTAACCTTGTACATCGAAATGGTATCCAACCAAGATTTTTACCATCAATAGGCCTTTGGCACTCATTCTTCATAGAAACATTTGTCGTGGGCAGTAAATGATACTTTTTGGGTGTCGGGTCAAGTGCTGAAAGTTTAAGGCCAAATTGACCTTGAATGCTAAAACGGTTTCCGAACAATATTGCATGCAGCTTCAGAAATGCTGACGAGCCGGAAAATAATGCCTAATTGCAAATTATAGGAATATTCCGTATACAGATATCAAAATGTTTATTCTTGTATCGTGACAATATAGACTTTACTTTTCTTTCTTAGTATAAAATGACATACAGATATACAACATAAAAATAGTTGTGTATACTATTTAAATATTGCATTGTAATTTATGATTTCAAGTAGTCACACATCAATTCTTATCATCATTGCTTTGGCAACTTCCTAAAAGATGGTGGGTCTTTGGTTAATTATGTAACATTTTCTAAGAAGAATCTCAAAAACGACAATTTGAGAAAAATATAGTCCACCTTTACTGACATCATTCTGACTAATTGTATGTCATTTAATTAGAAGATTTTACATTTAGCATATAATTCTTTCAGCAAAGCCTAGGAGATAAAAATTACATTTTTGAGGGCAACTCTAATGGACAGGACACAGTAAAACAAATGTTACCAAGGCCTCTTTACACAACCAGAATACGTTTGTATCCCGTATCGTATCATGGTGGAATAGAACTTGCATTTAGGCTGAACGGATATGCTCCAGGTAAATCAATTCAAAGTTTCTAGGACGCATGTAGTTAATTAATTGTACATGAGGCAACTTTGTCAACTGTTTGATACCATATAAGAATTCAAATGCCGACACGCGACCGATCAATTATCGTATTACTTCCTTTTGGCTCTTTTTGCATTTAAAAATGAGTTCTTGTTTTTATTTTTTCCAGGAACAACTTCTCTTGTTCCAAAGGGGATTTGTGAACCTGCGTCTAAAGGTAATATTTTCCTTACTTTTATCATTTCTAGATGTGTACACCATGTAGTTTTATTTTAGCCGTTATATTGTTAATTATCGGATGATTATAAATACTCATACATTGTTGTATATGATTTTTGTTCCTAAGCAATGAAAGAATTTGTATGCGCAATGTAAAAAGAAAAAAACTTTTGTTTAATACTTTCATGTAGATAATACAGTATGTTACCATAGAACCATATCCGAGAATTTATTTCGAATGAAACTCTACGATTACACATAATTATTTGCTGGTAAACAGCGTTTTGAATTTCAGAGGACTATATCATGAACATACAAGTAAAATATTTTATTTTTAATTGTACTCTGTTTGAATTTTAGCTTACATCTTATCATTTTAATAATCTAATCTCCTATATTAAAACCAAGTTTATCTCCTTACTTTTAAGGAAGCCCTGGAGGTCCAGGTACTTTTTATTACTGGAGGAAGAACTCTGCTTCAACAGTTATAATTGACAACATTGGGAAAGACACAAATATCAAAATGGATAATACTTGCAAAAAGATGGACATTCTTTCGCAGGGTAACTTTTTGACATACGAGTATTTAAGTGGTATTTCTAATGATATATGGTAAAAAAGGGTTATTATGATAATTATATGATTTGATTTTAGTAATTTGTTTGTAATTTACTCATCTGCTACATGAAGATCCTCCAAAAACTTACTTTTGAAAAATTAAGTACATCTGTGACTACATGAATATTTTTGCAGGTGGAGCCGCATTCATCCTTGACCACGGTGCTGATCTTGCATTTGTTATCATCAATGATGGTTCACACCTCGCCGTAGCCTCGGATCATACCTTACAACATGTATATGGAGACGGAAGGTCCATGATTCACTTAATACATAATACGACACTCGATATAGATGGTGACATGACAGCGCATGCGCACATCCACGAACACTCTTCCATGAATTTTGACGCAGATGTTTTAGTAACTCTCGCCAGTTCCATATATGTCAGTGGAGATATCAATTTCACCAGACCTGAAAATCAGTCTTTGGTTCTTGCGAATTTAGCTTTTGTTACAATTGATTCCGTTTCCACAAATCGTATTTATTGTAATAGATTTGAAATAAAAGAAAAGGCTACAATGAACATTACAAACCAAAATTCTCTTTTTCATCTTGAAACTAACGAAATAAAGATTGATGGGACCTTTCATGCACATAGTTTGAAGATTTATGATGTTATCAAAAAGTTTATTGTCGGTTACAAAGGTGATGTAGCCTTTGACCCTATAAGTTCCGATATGTATATTGGCCCATATATAGATATTCGAGGTCAGGTGAATTTACAGAAGTATGTGTCAATTGTGTATCCTTGCAAACAGTTCCTATTGGAAAGTGGTAAACTAATATGGCCTTCTACATCAGATATCATAACTATGGAATGTGAAATTGTAAAGATCAACAGTGCATTCAGTCCAGGTACTCTCTCTTTCGGTGCTGGAGTAGACCAGTTTTCTCTTGATGGTAAGGGAAATTTTGTTTTCACAGCCGATGGACCGATTTTAGTCAACACTGTATCAATAGCTGGTAGAATGTACGTGACCAACACAGCCACTTTTGAATCACACAAATCGACTGATGGACGTATTATATCATTTAACATTCACAACCCGTACGGACAACTACAGCTTAGTACTATGAATCTTCCTGCTCGGACGAATGCGGAGACGACAAATCAAACATGTAATGTTTTAAAAACGAGAGGCTTGACCATAGACAAAATATTTAACGCACGGGATCTTGAAATCGATATAGGTATTGATGAAATCATTGTAAATACCTATGGCTCCTGGTCATTTGGACCCTGCAAAGCATTTAAAGTACATGAGCTATACGTAAATGGAACCGTTACATCATCATATCCACTGTATCTGCAAGGACTGTCTCTTGAAAAGGTAAAGACCGTTCATATCGATGTTGGCGGATCAGTAGCTCTAGGTTCATATGCCCCAAGTACGAAGGCCTGGACAAACGTATCAATCATTAGAGTTCATGATTTCTCGATCGGTGGAACTTTAAAAGCGGGATTATTTATGAATTATTTCAAAACTAATGAAGGTTGGGATCGGTTGAACATTTTTGAAAAGGGATCATTTTACTTCCGAGCGCAAGGGCCGATGATGATGGACTATCTATATGTAAATGGCCATTTTGAATGTCTTGGAGTTGTTAACATGAACGGTAGTGATACAGACCTCATTATCCATATCGGGTCAAAGGGAACCATGTCATTTGACTCGCAGACATCATCAGTGTGGAGCGACGAATCTTCAGTAATTTCGTCAAGGATTCAAATGGATTCAGGATCAATCTGGCAATCTCGGAATACTAAATGGATTGTAAATGAAGCTGATATCAGTGGAAGTTTATATTCCCACCCCTCATCGGATGCGAATATTTTGTCCTTCACTGTAAAAAACGGCGGTCTTGTAGACTTTTCTAGAGTGTCTGTCGTTAAAGGAAGAACCTTCACCATAGACAGTGGTGGGACGGTAGATATTGAATACCAGCACATGCCAGAAGATACTAACCAAGGTGTGAGTGAATCGAAATTGTTGTACAACACAGTAACTGTCAACGGAATGATGAAAGCTGGATCAATGTTTATTGGGCATCTTGATGATACTGTAGAACGTCTTGATCACGTATACATATCAGGGACGATAGATATCAGTGAAGGCGGATACATCTATGACACTGGGCCAGGTGAGTATTTCTAGCGATGAATCAGCTTTTAAAATGTTAATGTGCATTTTTGGGTCCATTTCTTAATTTACTTGAATCAAATCTCGGGACTTTATCATAGTAATTTCTGTGAAAAAGTAGTCGCCAAGTTATTAAAGACCATTCAAGTTAAGGTATAGATTTCAAGATGAATCAAAAACGCTATCACTTATTTGAATAATTTGTTGAAGTTTCATGGGATAAAATGAGACTTAGATAACAATGATATGATAAAACAATATAAAAAACATACAACTGACAGAAAATTCTAAAAACTTTAATACAATTTTCCCAGGATTTCTGAGCTAACCGGGAGATCTTTTGTATTTTTGTCCGCTTGTCATTATCATGTCATTTATACAGAGTTGTATGCTGGAAAAAATTTATACTTGTATACTTTTCTTATCAGGAAAGGGACAAATAAATACACAAGGAGCAAGCGGAGCTTCGCACGGCGGACGGGGAGGCCGCGGATATAGTGGTATGAGAGCTTTACATTCATATGGTAACATCTTTACCAATAGTTCCTGGGGCTCTGGCGGTGGCAGTCACTCGCCGTTTGAGAAAACAGGAGGGCGTGGCGGTGGTTATTTATATATAAATGCTACCACAAGTGTCAAGATCAGTGGGCAGATAAAAGCAAACGGAGGCAATGCAAAAGTAAATATTTAAATGACAATCTATTATCGCTTAAATAGTTATTCATTTAATATTTGAATGAAAACAGAAAGCTAAAGTACAGCAAATTTTTTTATAAAAAGATTAACTATAGATAAGAATAATTATATTTATTTTGTCTTTATGTACGTAATCCTTATGTGTTTTGCTTTCATGTAGTCGCCATTTGCTGGTGGTGGAAGTGGTGGAGACATCTTTATAAACTCTGACAAGACATTTGAGTTAACTGGACAAATTTATTGTAATGGCGGGTCTTCGTCGGGCCATGGTGGTGGTGGGGCTGGCGGACGTATACATGTTTACTTCAAAACAGCTAATTATCATAGTGGATATGTACAAGCAAAGGGTATATTATATATTTAGAAGTAAAAGGCATTATAGTATATAAGTAAATAAAAGGGCACATTTGTAACTTTGATCTTAATATATCACCTTTAGCTGCTATAAATTTAACTTATACTTATTAAAGAAATAAATTGTAGAGCATACATGTACATACTTTTGATAGTTTTATGCTTAACAAACTTACAGTAGTTAAAACCAAACCATAAATTATGTTTCACACATATTATTTAACCTCTATAATAGTCAAACATGAGTACGCGTACACCTTAGGAATTCTTTATATTTGAGAGTGTTAAAATCAAGTAAACGACCATTTAAAAAAATACGCTATACATCATCCATCAGTTTAATGCGTTAAATATTTACCTGAATAGATATTGTAATAATTTAAAAATGCATTAAATTTTTTAAAGAAAAGTATCTTTTCGTTTATATAATAATTTTATTTTGACTTAAGGTGGCAGCTCGGGTTCAGGTGAACACGGTGGACCGGGAATATCATACTTCCAAGGCGATTCCATAAGAAATCTTCGGATTGACAACGGTTGTAAACAGCCAAAGGTAAACATAGAATAAGCATCTCGAAATCTGAAGCATCTTTGAAATTTATTTTGTCTAATCTTCTCTTTTTGGTATTCAGACTTTTAAGTGTTTTAAACAAAAAGTATATAAAAAATATATATAGTATTATCATGTATCAATATCTTTAATTTTTCATCTATTATTACTATCTATAAATGTAAAGTGAAAACCCTGAATTAAGACCACCATTGAAACTGCTCCAAAGTGGTCTTAACTGTGGGGTGGTCTTAATTGTGAATATTTGCTTACGTACTTTATGATCATGGTCTGTACTTAAAGGGTGTTGCTATGTTTTCTGCATTTGTCTTAGTTCAATAAAACTAAAAAACTTTTGGTATATTTAAAGGTTTCAGAGCCTGCAGGGAATGTTGCTGGGCCAAAAGAATTTGATGTTTACCGTGAAACTGGTAGGTTTAGTACTCATATCCTTGCTAATAATACTTCTAGTTATTTACCGGGATGAAAAACAAAATCAAAATGAAAATAGATTTTACCATGAAAGTGTGTTTGTTTTGCACAAATGTCAGATTATTTTGCTATTGCTTTGAAAAATGTTTACGAAGTTAACCTGATTTTATGCATAACATTAAGGCTTGCAAAATATCAATACGTTTCTTTATTCAGTCATAAATATAACCATTTTCTTTGTTGGTATTAGCCTGATAGAAATATTGATATTGAAGAGTTTTGTTACGATCGAACTTTTCTTGAAATCAAGTTTGCACGTAACATATACCCTGTTATTTTATAGCGTTAGTTGCTTACAAAGGTGGGGTTTCTTCATCTATATATCATCAATAAAATATATCGATTATTATACAGGTGCGATTGCTTATTTACGGCCATCAACTGATAACTTTACATTTGACTTTACCCATGTTGAGTTGTATGGTGGTGCTCATGTGACGTTGAACGGCACTGGGACTGTTTTAAAGTCCGAGGTTATGTACGGGGACGATACAGGCCATCTGCATATTGGGCCAGGTCATACGTTCATATTGACAAAGGTATTATCATATTCAATTTACAAAAATAATCTTGCTGAAATAGGAGATGCACACATCAAATGTCGCTAGAATTGGATTATAAAAAACGCTTTTCTGACATAAATTCATTACAAAACCCTAATTTCTTTTATTTGTTAAATACACACATATCACTACAGATATGTTTACTGTGAAAAGCAGGAACATGAAACAAAATGCAGAGGCATTAACATTGTACAAATTGTATAAATTGTCAGGTTGCAAGATACGAGCGAGCAAACGTTACATATGAAGTATTCCTATACGAAGGCGCTACCTGGATCACTCCAGAAGCCACCCTTGAATTCCGTCAGGTTTTAGACAAAAGAGGTCTAGGTATGCCAACACAAGCGACATCATGTCCTGCAAACCAGTTGCGATCTACATCCGGACGATTCTGGGGACCAATTGAAGGAACAAAAACACATATACTTGTCTCTACGGGTTTGTTAATTGTATTTTGTATAATCCAAATTGAGTTAAACAGTTGCGTTCTTCTCTGTGTAACAAAAATATGATATTAAGTTATATAGCTTGAATTCAGAAACGGAAGTTGTTGTCCGTGCGTTTATCCATACATTAAGTAGCATATAGTGTTTTCATTATACATCTTAACTAGAAAGGTGTCATAAAACCGTAATGGAATCGAATAGAACACGTCTGCGGATGATTCCAAATTAAAAATTTTTACCATTTTCGTGTTTAAATGTTGAATTCTGCTTAAGCCAGTGCTAGCGGGCGTGGGCGGTAACTTGTACTTTCCATGCAATACGTCCATGGACAGACTTAATCAAACTGGGCCTGCAATATTTCCATTTATAATGTTTTGGGCGTTCTTTAGGGATTCTAATTTTCTCTATTTTAAGTTAAGTGTTTATTACGAGTATACAGCTTTTTTGAAAACTATACAACTTAAGTATCATAATACAAAATGGATAGATAAAACACGGCGTTTCATGATAGGTGTTTTAAGTATTTTGTATTAACAACCATTCTTTTGTATCAAAAGATAAACCAGCTTTAAACCACTGTTTCATTTTATTTATTTATTTTTGGACAGGTGGAAACATTATTCTTGGTCGCGCTGGCATTCGGACAAATAAATTCGCCAATCTAACCATTCAGGATGGTGGAATATTGGATTTAAGGACAAATTATGGAGACGAAAGAGATGTTTGGAATCTTGAGGTATATTGCGCATTTCTTCAAAGTTAAAACTAAGCCATTTAAACACCTTCACAATATATTGTTTGCTTTAAAAAAAATAATAATAAATAAAATAAAAAATAAATAAATTAATAAATAAATAAATAGAAAAGTGTCATTTTATCTCTTTTCTTTTCTGATATCCGTAATCGACATGTTGTTTCTCATTATAAAAATACTTATTAAAGTTATTTCAGTGTGATTAAATCTTTGTGTTGACCATATATTTCATTGGTATAGGTTCGGAGAGGTATCAGTAATGGACTAATTACTATAGAGGCTGGTGGATTACTTCTAGCTCGAAATCTGAAAATAGACACTGACATTCTTGAAGTGGAGAAACTCGGGCTACTATCACTCTCTGGACAAGGACTTACAGATGGTGACGGGGAAGGGTCAATAGGTGGGGGAGGCAGCTTTGGTGGTCGTGGAGGAAATGGGAATAGTGGTACCATTCAAAATTCTTTAATAATACAAGTTTCAATCGTTTTCAAGTGGATAACACGCAAAAGAATGATCGAGCTCAATATTTTTTTTTAAACCAAAATAATTATAATGTTTAACAACTGAAAACATTCATATTGTATATTATTTTTGTAAGTACTTAATAACAATTTCTATTAATACATGTACATATGAAGAACTGTTGATAATCATAATAAACGAATAAGCGTATATCATGTCTTTGTGTTTTTAGCATTCATTCTGTAATCAAATTAAATTGTTTTGCAGGCGGAACAGCTGGCCATGTTTATGGTAGCGTGTATAATATAAACTTGATGTTTGGAAGCGGTGGTCATGCAGCTACTTCTACATACGGAGCAGGTAATCAGTGACGTCTGTATTTTCTTTTTTTATAGGAACAGAACAGACATTTATTAGCCTCTGGGATCATTGATTCCAGCACTTTTAAGTGTTGAATATTGAGTATCGCTCAAGCCGGTGCTAGGGGGCGTGAGGGATGTTGCATTTTTTCATTATACCTCATGTACAGATTCAATCAAACCCAGTTTGCAATTGCATGTAATTGTGCTGATTTTAATTTTTTCGAGGAATCACTTTTTTTCCAGAAACGTATAACATCATAATGAATAATATTTTTTAATTCATAAAGGTGGTGGAATTCTTGACCTCAATATAAACAAAATCCTACTAATTGAGGGAATCATTCAATCAAATGGAAATCCTGGTCACTCTACAACTATTTCCGGAGGAAGTGGCGGATTTATCAGAATACATACACGTGACTTTGAGGGATCAGGAAATATTATGGTTGTTGGGGGAACAGGTGCAACTAATACAGGTGCTGGGGGAGGTGGTAGGTTGGCAGTATATTATAAGACGGCTCAATACTGGTTTGGTCAACTGGATGCCAGAGGAGGTTCAAGTTCTACAGGTGACGGAGGGGCAGGCACAGTGTATTTGAAGGTTTGATTTGTTAGTTGCAATATTTTAGGTTATGAAAGTAAGCCTTCTGCTATTAATTGGTAACAGCATCATATTTACTGAACAAAACATCTATTTCTTCCTCCGTTAAATAAAACGCATATATAAAATAAATGCTTACACAGAACGACGATGTTACACTCATTTATTAAAAACTTCATATGCTAAGAGAGATTGTGTATTTAAATTTAAAGGATGTAAAGGCGGGTGCCCAGAATGAAACTTTGATAATCGACAACTTCGGTCGATCAAAGGCAACACTTGGGATTGCAGACCACTCATATGCTGGGTTTAACAAGGAAGGTGGAAGAACATGGCTTCACGAAACAGATCTAAAACAAATGGACACGATTAAAATAGTTAGAAACGCTCACGTGGCAATTCATCCAAACCTTAAATCGTAAGTGTTAATAAAGGGTAAATGTTATGTAATCCGACAGCTTGCAACGCATTTTAAGACTTAAATCAACATTGACCATTGTGAAATTGAGCTATATATGTTTCCATTGTAATAGACATGTAATGAAATACTCAATAACTTTTGTGCATAGAATAAACATTTTAGATGTAAGGTGGAAGATGTTTCTTTCTCTCTTTCTTTAGTTTTCATCAATAATATGTTATAATGATAAACGAATTTGAAAAAGGATTATATTGAATCTATTGATCAATATATTGTCAATTTTTGCTTCTACTACTGTTCAATATGAAATATCGCTTTTAAATGTTTTCGAAAAGGCGATGCATGCCATTCATTTTTGTTTGGTTTCTTCCAGAAACATCTTTGATCTTAAAGCGTACCGATTTGAAGGAGACACTACAGGAAGCTTGCATGTTGGACCCGAGCAATTAGTCATTGTGCAGCATCCTGAAGATCTTGAATTTCTTGTGAATGTGTACGTGTATGAGGGAGGAACATTACTCTTGCCACCTGATTTCACGTGCTACAACATAAAAATGCACATATGGTCAGTTATTGTTGTTCTTTTGGTTATCGTGAAATACTAACAAATAATAAAGATTGCAAGTGTATTTTCCATCTTAATATAGACACTTTTCAATGAAAACATTGACCTAAAAAACGTATCAGTTTTTTGTTTTTTTTTATTTTTCACCTTAGACAAACAATAACTTTCTCCATTTACTTCAGGGGTACTATTGGTGTCCATGATGTAACTGTTGGCGAAAAATGTTCTCTTTATCTCGGTAAAGAAGGTAACACAAAGCGAACAGGGGTATTTCCCGATAAAGGCTTATTTGATTTCGAGAAAATAACGGTAGCTGCGGGCGGTGAAATAACTTCAACGGCTGATCTAACAGGGGCAAATGATATTATTAATATCAAGGTAATAAACTCTATACTATTAAAGACTGGAATCAAAATTGAGCCTGCAACATTTTCAATTTTGCCGTTTTGGGCTATCTTTTGGGATTCTGTTTTTCTTTATATTATTTTGAAGACAGTGCTTAAAACGTTGTATTTCACAGACAAAATATGTTATCAACGTAATTTAAGTCTGTCAGTAACGAAAGTAGTAACATATTTAATTATCATAATTATACAGATCATGAACATTGGTGTATTTTGTAGTGTCTGTGTAGTCTGATATATATTAACTGTGAAACAATGTCATGTTAAAATTTAAATATTTGTCTAGCTTTTCTTCAAATGATTGCTGTATTTGCAAATAAATTAAAGGATCAGATGACGAAAATGTTATAATATATTCTTAAAACAAATACCTTACCTATAGGCGAATAAGTTTCGAGTCAAAGGTGGAGGAATAGTGCACGCTGTGAAAGTGAATGTTGAAGCTGCTACACTTATAGTTGATGACCTAGGAGAAATAATAGGAGATTTGCATAATGTCGCCTGCAACATCCTGTATCGTGGTAAAGATGGAAAGGCTGGATCAGGTAAAATAAAGTACTTCGTTATTTCATTCATTTAATAATTATTTGATAGTCAATGAAAATTAGTATATATGCGCTTATAATGTGGAGTAGATATGCTTTATCCTAGTACAAGGACTTAGTTGTGGATGTAGCAAACAATTTAACATATTATTTCCTAGGTGCTGGACATGGTGGAAGAGGAGGTGGGAGTTCTGACAATATGTTTACGGGAGCACCATATGGAGAAATCTTCGAACCTATTGACCTTGGATGTTCTGGCGGGAAATCCTCAGTTTCCGGAAACGGTGGTCGAGGTGGTGGAACCATTTACCTTAATGTAACAAAGGAACTGCAAAACGACGGTGAAATTAGCTGCAATGGAGAGCCTGGCACTGGGTCTAGTGGTGGTGGAAGTGGAGGCTCAATATTGATAGATGTTAATAATATAAAGGTAAGGGGTGCAAATAAAACCAAGAATAACTTTGCTCCTATGATAGGACCAAATGAATATATCTTGTTGATATAATTATAACATAATTTTAATTCTTGTTGATTTCCTATAAAGTGTATAATACAATTATGCGATCTTGATTAAATCTCTAAAATACGATTACTTTTACTTCTACAAAAAGTAAGTAAATTACGATTACTGATTAATTTTACAGGGATATGGTGAGTTCCAAGTAATTGGTGGAGACGGTTCAACAACCAATAATATTCAAGGCTGCGGTGGGTCAGGTGGTAGAATTGCTATGTTCTTCAACAAAAACTTTACTTTCTCTGGATCTTGGGATGTGTTTGGAGGTGACACGTCAATACCAGAATGTGACGGTGCTTCAGGGACAGCATTCTTTTATCACAATGGTAATCCTCTAACAATTTGTTGGGCTCTAAAATAAGTTAAAAATGTCAAGGTTATGTTTTTGAAGAGATGGAAATGGAAATATGTATTTTCAAATAATTTTTTCACGCGAAATATTGTTTCCAGCAGAAATATCAAAATAAAGGTTTCGGTCATTTAAAAGGTGGATCCTCAAATAACTAAAAATTTCTTGCATTTTCAAGTTCAAGTATAGGCTCGATCAACACTAGCCAACAACAGTTGCCAGGAATGGGTAACTGAACGATTCCAATTTTATCTTTATGTATTTTGTATTTACTACAGCAGAAATAAAGATTCACCTTTAAATAATTTGCAAATATATGTTATCTGATCGTAAATGTAAGCTATTAATATAGCATAAGCAAACAATTTTGCTACATGGTTGATCTTATTTATCTTTAATTAGTGGACACTTAAGTCAGCCAAAATAATGCAGCCAATGATACCAAGCGGTAAAACCATATTATTGAAACTACTAAGTTCTAAATTAACGTGTAAAAAATTAACTAAGGATTACTTTGTCAATATTTCATTTACAGGCTACAAACACTCTACACTTCTTGTAAACAACATCGGTAGGGGTGTTGTTGGTGAGAAAGGAGTTATTGCAGATTACTCTGACCTGTCAAGGGATACATCACATACATGGTTTCTACCACACCATGGTATTAACAGCAGATTCGAAACAAGTAAGTTAACTATGATATATGATTCAAGTACTTTTTATCCATAAAATATGATATAAACGCATCATTTTTAGCAGATTTATATGAACTAAAATTTGTAAATTATATCTTTTGGAAGGTAAAATGTTTATATACATGAAAATTATATTTTTTATATCTTTTGTATGATAATGACGGAACTTGCATGTATTTATATATGTTTATGGATCTGTTTTTCTTTTCATAGCTACAAATAAGTACTACTTCGATGAGCTACAAATATATGGCAACGCCCACTTAGCTGTTCTGACGAATCCTGTAGGATCAAATGCATCTATATACTTTGAAAACATGATTGGTGATCGCACGGGAGCTATACATGTTGGAGCAAATCAAATCATGGATTTAAAACGGCCAAGAATTGATCTTCCATTTAACGTTCATGTATATCCAAATGGCTTTCTTGGTCTTGCACCTGATACATATGTCCAAGACATTGATATATTTCTAAATGGAACATTGGCATATGTGGAAAATCTAACGCTCCATCACGACGGAAACCTTTGGCTTTACAAGGAAGGAAAAACAAATGACTTAAAGAACAGTAACTACGAGTTTAAATTTGTTCATGTTAAAACCGGCGGATATATCCACATGATTACTGACCCTGTAAAAGAATATGGTATTCACTTTACGACTATTTCAACACATATTGATGGAGGAGGCCTCATTCGAGGAACACATCTGTATTTCAAGTCTTTGAATATTACCATTGATGCAGGCGGACAACTTAATGCAGATTACCTCGGATACAGAGTTGAAGATATTAACACAAATGAATATGGTATTTATGGACTAATTAACCCAGGTCGTGGATATACGGGGTCCGAAACGGCGTCTGGTGCAGGTCATGGTGGAAGCGGAGCAAGGGGAGAGGGTATATACATATTTATTTAATTCAATGTTATGTTTCTGTTTGTTTGTTCTTTGTGTTTTGTTTGTTTTGTTTAATTGTTGTTGTTTTTTTCTTTTTCTTTTTTTTTGTTTGTTTGTTTGTTTTTTTTGTTTTTGTTTTTTTTGTTTTTGTTATTTTTCACATCCAAATATTTGCAAATTATTACGATTACATTGAGTTGAAGAATTTTACTTATTAAAAATAACAAAATTTTATTAACATGTAAATGTACATCTATTTGTAACTATGCATTATGATATATATTAATCAAATCGGCACGTTTGTAACAAAATGGAATATCATTTTCATTTATTCAATGCGTTTGTATATATATGTCCTGGTACTGTGCTTTTAGGTGATACAAGGAGTGGTTCTCCATATGGTGATATATATGAACCGACTCTATTTGGATCATCTGGTGGTGGGAGTGGTGGCGGTCGAGGAGGTGGGCGGATATGGTTAAATGTAACAAACACGATACACATTGATGGTCAACTAACAGCTAATGGCGATAAAGGTAGAACAGTTAATAGTAAAGTAAGTGGCGGTGGCAGCGGTGGGAGCATATGGCTACATGCAAACCGGGTCACTGGCTTTGGTATTATTCAAACACAAGGAGGAAATGGGTCATATCATAAATATTTGAGCAATGAAAAATCTGGCGGTGGAGGTGCGGGAGGTAGAATTGCGATGTATTTCAAAATAAACGTAACCTTTAGTGAATTTCGCTATCTTTCTAATGGTGGATGGCCAGGTAGAAATTGTCAAACATGTGAAGCTGGTGGTCCTGGTACTGTATTCATATATCACATACTTGAAGACCATAGAACACTTATTGTTGACAATGACGGTGCACCACCTCCTAGAGATCTGTATGTTAACTGGGATAACCTTCAAAACGATGGAGGACGTGCTTGGATTTTACCTATTTCCGGTAAACATACGTTTGCGATGGGGACGAATGGAGGTTACGCATATGAGTTCGAGGAGCTTCAGATTTATGGAAACGCTCATTTGGCTGTCAATCCACCCACTACAGTTAATGTTATTGTAACTGATACCATTGATAGACATTTACATGGATCGGTAGATGAAAGAAACTACAATGTTATCATCTTTTTCAAATATATGATTGGAGACCGTACTGGCTCAGTTCACCTTGCAACAAAACAAGCTATGGATTTAATGACAGGGATGGATCGGGAAGAAATGGATCTCCCTTTCAACACATACACTTATACAGGATCATACCTTGGTTTAGCAAATGATACTTATGTCCACGGTGTTGAAATACACCTGAGTGGAATAATGGCTAATGTTCAAAATATAACTTTAAGACTTGGAGGATATCTATGGCTTAAACATGGAGGTCATACAGTAAATGAGATCGAAAGTATATATAGCTTTGATTATATTAAAATACAAGATGACTCGTCTCTGAATGCAACGACTGACCCGATCAAAGAAGAAGGCATAACATTTTTCCTTAAAGGACTATCAATAGAAGGTGGTGGAATAATGCATGGAACATTTCTCACTGTAAATGCAGCAAATATAACTGTGGATGCTGGGGCTCTTTTGTCAGCTGATGGTCTTGGGTACAGATTCGAGCACAAGGAAGCAATCCACGGCTCTATATCAAAACACGGAAAAGTTAATCCAGGAGCTCCGGATCTATTAAATGGTCAAGGTGGTGGTGCAGGACATGGAGGTTCAGGTGGTAAAGAAGAAACTGCAGGAGCACGAGCAGGTTTTGCTTATGGAGATATCTATCAACCGCAGAAAATGGGATCCTCTGGTGGTGCAGGCTTGAGCAATCAAGGAGGCGGAAGTGGTGGAGGACGGTTATGGTTTAATGTTACAGATACAATTTTTATAGATGGACTAGTTACTGCAAATGGTGCAGATGCTATTTTCTTTGGGTCCGGTGGTGGGTCGGGTGGGTCGATTTGGATGCACTGCAATATCATACAAGGTTATGGTTCGATTACTGCACATGGTGGTAAGGGATCAAGTAATTATCCTAACACAGGCAGTGGTGGTGCAGGTGGAAGGGTAGCAGTCTATTTCAATATTAATGAAACCATGTCAACGTTCCGTTATCTTGCATATGGCGGTTCCTCTGGCGGAATACAATCCGAACATGGTGGAGCTGGAACTGTATTTATATACAACAAGTTGGAAAACCACACGACACTCATCTTAGACAACAACGGTCAGTATCCAAGAGACAAATACAACATTATAAACAACTATGCTGATTTAACTTTTGACTCATGTCGAACCTGGATATTACCACAATCGGGGTACAATAAATTTGCAAACGGAATGTTTCAGTTTCATTTCAATGAATTGCAAATCTACGGCGCTGCTCATATGGCTGTGCTTCCTGAACCAGTTTTTACAAAAGTAGAAATATTTTTCTTGTACATGATTGGTGACAGAACAGGCACTATTCATGTAGGTAAAAATCAAACGATGGACTTGCATAGAAAAGAAATTAATCTTCCGTTTAACGCAAGGGTATATAAAGGAGGCTATCTTGGACTTGCATCAAAAACCATTGTACATGGAGTTACAATTTGGCTATCTGGTGAATTAGATCATGTAGAAAATCTAACATTGCATCATCAAGGTTATTTAGAGCTTCACAAAGGAAGCTTTACCTCTGATAACTCTCCAGATCATTATACATTTGTCTCGGTGAGGATTCAGGACAACGCAACAATAAGTGTATTGATAGACCCACTTGCTAGTATAACATCTTACTTCACGGCAATCAATGCAATTACAATGGAAGGTGGAAGCTGGTTTTATGGTACTAACATGAAAATTAAAGCAACCAATGTCACGTTAGACTACGGGGCAACAATCCATGCCGATTCTCTCGGTTACAGACCGGAAGATGAAAAGATGACAGCAGCATCAATCGTGGCTTGGGAACTACTAGCAAAAGTGGTTCATCTGGTGCTGGTCATGGCGGTACCAGCGGAAAAGGTGCTGGTACAACTTTAACTGGCCAACCTTATGGTCATCTCTTTCAGCCTAGTGAAATAGGTAGCGCTGGAGGAGGTGGGAAGAATATAGGCGGCCAAGGTGGGGGAAAGCTTTATATTGAAGTTTCTGATCGCCTTTTGATTGACGGAGAAATAAGAGTAAATGGAGGTGACGGTAAGTCAAAAGAAGGAGGCGGAGGGTCAGGTGGTTCAATAATCATTGACACATACAAATTCCGAGGCATGGGAAATATAACATCTAACGGAGGTAGTCGTTTTACAAGCGGTACAGGTGGGGGAGGGGCAGGTGGCCGTATTGCAATATATTTCAGAAAGAACGTAACATATTGGGGTGAATACCAATGCCATGGCGGATATTCTACCGGAAATGCTGAGTCTGGTGGCCCTGGAATCGTGTTTATTTACAACGTTGAAAAGAACCACAGCACTATTTATATCAATAACAGAATGCGCACTACTAGAGATGATGTGAATTTGATACGAGATTACACAGATCTGTCTAGAGATCGATTCAAGGCATGGATTTTGCCGGAATCGTCAGATCATTGGCTTGCGGGTGGAAACGATAACTATAGGTTTAATGAGCTCCAGATATTTGGTAACGCTCATCTTGCATTATTGCCTAAATTCTACGAAGAAGGCTGCATTTTACATTTCTTGCATATGATAGGGGATCGCACCGGCTTCGTTCATGTTGGTCCTTTTCAGGTCATGGACCTTAAACGATTATTTTTGGATACGCCATTTAGTACTTACATTTATAACGGTGGCTACCTTGGTCTCGCAACAGAGACCTTCCTTGAAAAAGTATTTATCCACGTAGAAGGCACCGTTGATCACATACACAATCTCACTCTTATGCAAGGTGGTGCTCTTAAACTTTTTAAAACCGGATCAACGAATCGTAGAGACCCACTAAATTACGTGATTAAAGGTCTTACTGTAATTAAAGCCGATTCATATATCAACTGTTCTAGTCCAAATGCAGATAGTGACTCTTACAATTTGAAATTTGGTTGGGCAATTGTTGAAGGAGGTGGTCTCATAAAGGGAGGGAATTTGAACCTCACTGCAACGGATTTCACAATTGACGATGGTGGTTATGTTGACGTTAGCAATGGCGGATATCGTTCTGACCTAGGGAAAGGTATGTTCGACCATGTTTAGATAAATAGATAGATAAATAATGATTGCTGCATTACATTGTATGAATAACTTTGAGAATCAGTGTTAAGAAAATTAAAAACAAATAAAATATAAATGTAATTAGAAACTTTATAAGGTTTCATTATTTTTTAAACAGTAATTCCATCTCTATATTACATGTGTCAAATTAACTTAACAGAAAGAGCAATGCTAAAAGAAATACACAAAGTATTACTTATTAAAATCAGAGACATATAATAGGGTATAAAGTTTCTCTGTCAAAATGTATAGCTATTTTACTAATATCTCGTTTCAAGAGATCATGGAAATATAACAGATTTGTAGTTATGAATGTGAATATTTAACTTAAAGATTTGTAAAAAAGGCTTATCATAAACCAATTTTATTTTAGCTCCTGGGATTTGGAGTATCTTAGGATCAAGTGGTGCATCTCATGGGGGTCTTGGTGGACGTGGCGGATGCGGTGGCTTTATCACGTGCAGACTTGAACGAAATGCGCCGTATGGTAACCTGTATACGCCGAATGAACACGGAAGTGGAGGAGCACTAAGCAGTGGTGGAACTGGTACGTCTTTTATATTTGTGTACAGTACTGTATATCTATGTCGTTTCTGTCTTTGTGTTGATCGAAATAGTCAGATATATAAAATGATAAAATATTCACTTGTTTGATGCTAGATCTTAATTAAATTATGACTGCCAACAAACCATTTTTATAATGTCTCAGATGTAGTAGTGTTTTTGAAGCCAAGTTTATATGAACATCACGTTAACGGGATAGAAATAATATAGTGGTGTTTAGCCATAAACCAAGGAAAGACAATTCTGATTAAAAAATATTAGATACTCTTCTTCAAGGAGATAAAGCAGACGCCGAAACATAATACTGTTGCAAGTTTAGCCTACCAAACTTCTTAATTCTTTGTAGGGTAACACCTAGTTTATAAGAATTGTTAGGAGTATAGGTAGAGAATTCAGAAGCAGATTTATTCTATATTGTATGTTTATTGATAATATCTTAGTAAAGTTCTCAGAACCAAAAAAAAAAGTTTGCATAAACATGATAAATCAAATGATGCTGATCGTGGTTCACTAAAGCTTGCTTTCTTCTAATCTTTCAAACACTGGCGAGTGGTTAACGTGTCGGACTAGTAATCTAGTAGGGGGCAAGTTGTTTATCAGTGAGCAAGAAATTTGACACCATTTGCTTAGTATTTTTGATTCCAGGATCGGAATTGAGTGTGTTTCAATCAGCTTAAAGCTTCCAACCTGGGACCAAAAATATACAAATCTTAGGGGACCCTTTAATGTTGTAGTAATTTTACTTCTGATACTACATTTATTTGTAATACAGTGAAATTTGAGAAAACCAGACGCTGAGAAAATCGGAACTCTCTAAACACCGGACAAATAATTCAGTCCCAAATTTTCTCTTCTTTAAACTATTGTATTAAACATTGACAATACCGGAATCTGTAAAAACCGAATATCAGACAGTTGAAAAGGGACTACAGAGTCAATTATATAGACAATTACTCTGACTATACCGGACGCTGAAGGTGTGAATAACCTTGTTTACTTATCAATTGGTTGTGTCTAATACGCTTACTGTCTTTACTGAGCGGTAACGGAACAATTATTCAATTTATTGTCTGATTTGGTTATTATGTCTCTTTTCACAGTTTGATTTATTGTAAGGTATAGATGTTACTGTTTTATATAAATGCCAAAATGCACGAGGAATTCATAAGTTAAAATCAGTATGAATGAAAAATAGAGTATTATTATACTGCGCTGGTTTTTGCATATTAATTTCCCAAAATGACAACACAACGGAAATGACATTTATCTGCGTTAAGTTCTATTCCATGGTCTAAAAGAATTTGACGAGAGCTGTCTATAAGTGACAAATTTAAATTAATTAAAGATAGTGAAACTTTGCCGAGACCTACTTTAAAAATCTTTATCTGACAAATATGGTATCGGCTATATTTACAATGGGGGCATTATTATAAACAAAGTAAACTATGTTCGTTAAATCATTATTCATTACCCAAATGTAAACATATGCGGGTGTAATCAGACTTTATCGTTATGAGGTAACTGCTGTTCGTTTAAATCCAAAATTTTATTGTATTTATATGCAATAAAGGAACAAAAACAATTAGAACATATTGTATATTATTATTTTCATTTCTTTATTTAGCAATATACTTCCTCATGATCATGAAAATGCAAATATACGTTCAGCATCCTTTGTAAGTCATTGCTCGGTTTATAGGATCCTGAACAGTTGAAGCCAATGAAGGGGACATTGAGAATACCGGACGGCTGAGAAAACCGGACAAAACCCTCGGTCCGAAAGCCGTCCGGTTTTCTCAACTTTCACTGTATAATGATTATAGCAATGCTATTTCAGTATCAAAATTTCATTTACTTAGTGAATTTATTATTTTGCTTCATTTTAGGTGGAGGTGTCATTCACATGAAGATAGCCCATACATTGGCTGTAGATGGTTATATCAAAGCTAACAGTGAAAACATTGTGAAGAGTGATGGAAATGGTGCCAGTGGTGGAAGTGGTGGCAGTATTACCATTTATACACACAATTTTACAGGTATCAATTTCTTATTGAAATATTAATTTTATCATTAAGAGTAAAGGATGGGATTTCTGGTGCCTGCAGTGCCATGCAACAGAGAGGTTGTGGTAACAAGTAATACTTGGTCAGAGTTTATGGAACTAAATTTATCAAAGTCTTTTTCTTCTGCCATGTAATATTTCACCAAAATGTTTTGATTCCATTGTCAAGACATTTGTTTACTCTGTGTAACTTTATCCTGAAACTATTTTATTACAAACTTTTCGGCTTCTGATTTACTATTTTCATAATTATGTTCATCAGACTTTTATCAGCAATAATGTATCAAAAATATTTATCAAAACTAATACAAAATGAATGTGAACCGAAGTGCACTATATTACCAGAATATATTGTTAACCGATAAACAGTTGCAGCCTTACTTTTTTCACAGTTATAATTTATGAAACAGAATTAATTGCACTTATTAAGTGTACAGCGTATTATCAAAGAGAACTGAAATAACCTGATATAAATACTTTAACAGGAAGTCATACAGGTCACATCCAGGTTATTGGCGGATCAGGAGATGTTACTAAAGGAGGTGGTGGCGCTGGTGGTAGGATCGCCCTGTATCATTCTCGTCACGAGACCATACCTCACTATAGAGGCTATTTTGACTCTTTTGGTGGGAAGCCAGGCACCAATGCTGAGGCAGGTGCTGCAGGCACAGTTTATGTACATGATGGTGAAAGGTCATACAGGTAAATATCTCTATATTTAGATCGTGTTGATGTTTGCTCCGTTAACTAACATTTGACAACTTGTTAATTAAATAATTTCCTAATTTCTGAAGTTCACTGAAGAAAATTTATCCAGTTTGTTTCTGTTTTGATATTTAATTTCATTAAACTTGATATGTAAATTGAACTTGATATGTAACACACTTGACAAATATTCTCTTCAGTTATTTTTTTCTTTTTGTTAATTATCTAAATTAAATGGTAATGCATCTAAGAGTTTTTTGGTTTGAAATTATAAAAAATGTCTTTGTGGCATGATCAGGTTTATTTCAATTTGATTCAACCTAAGCTATCTTAAAGAAAATGCATGGATGACTTTGGTGAAGAACGGTCTGGTGCATATGTCTCAAAACATAGTGAATACATTTACTTTGGTCACCATTATATACATGTATATATTATAACAACAACAATAATAATGCATTTTATTACTAATTAAACATTGAAACTGATAACTTTGATATATGAACAAAAGGGTTAGGCAGCCCCCCCCCCCCCCTTCACATTTTAATAAAACATAGAATGTATGATTGTTGGTTTATGCAGAATTTATTTCAGTTTGATTGTGTAGGAAGCTATAAGCTTATAGACACATGTTTGAATCCGTTCCTAGAACCAACCAGTACTGAGCATTGAGTGTAAAGTTTCTTGCTCAAGGAAACAACGACTTGCCCCTGACAGGGTTTGACCCATGCGGCTAGCGATCATTAGATTACTTGTCTGATGCATTAACCACTCGGCCATGCCGCCACTTGTACATGTATGATTGTTAAAACAAAAACGGGAAAAAAAACAATAAAGGAAACATTTTTCTTGTCTATTCTTCAGCATGCTTCAAATAGACAATAATGGCCAGAGATCAATAAATGAAGAGACCGCCATATTGAATGAAGGACACAGGATAGATCTTTCCTCAGTTCCAGGACAGTATAGTACAAGTACATCATACACAACAACCCATGGACATATTGTAATGTTCTTTATCAATAGATAAAATTATATTTTAAGTTAGGGTGAAATGGGAATATATTTTATCAAAATTATGTTACTTCTCGCAATTCCATATGGGTGTTCATAGATTTGCATCAACAATCATTTAATTACCTATCTGATTTTTGTTTTGGCGAGTATAAGTAAATTGAATATTGGTAGAAGAGATTTTTTTTTAATTTTTAGTCTCAATAAAGCTTCTTTGAATGCAATGAGTAGATATGTTTTAAGTTGATTTTATTTATGTTTCATTTAATCTCATTGTTAAAATTTCAGCAACTAAACTTTATCTAACAATACATTTTATATAATTTTATGTACATTGTTGAATGTATTAGCTAGTGCAAAACAAATGAGAGTTTTTTTTTTCATTTTTGTTGTTGAAAAAATGTGATGAAGAAAAATTTATTTAACTCATTGAATGCGTTTATAAAAAGCATTGTATAATGTTACCTATGATACAGTATGTATATAAAATTTATATCATCCTAGCTTATCTAACAAAGAAAAATAGAATACATTGACCTTTGAATATTTTTTCCAGGTGACTAGTAACCAAGAAATATATGTGCGCACCTATTTGAACAGCTACAGAAATGAATACTACAGGCTACACCATATGTTTGACCATACCATGGGCTCCTCATGGACAGACTTCTTCATGGCTAGAGCCGGGTCAGCTAAGGTCACCATAACTCTGAATCAACAGATGTACATTAATAAAATCAAAATTTACCCAACAATTGGGTACAGCACTAAATTCAAGGTAATCAATTATGTTGCTTTTCATATCTTTTAAAATTTAGATAATTATTATGCCCCCATTTTGAAAAAAAGGGGGTATATTGCTTTGCACTTGTCGGTCCGTCGGTCCGTAGACCAAATGGTTTCCGAGTGATAACTAAAGAACCCTTAGGCCTAGGAACTTCAAACTTGGTATGGTGATTGGTCATGACCAGTAGATGACCCCTATTGATTTTGGGGTCAAGGGGTCAAAGGTCAAGGTCACATTGACCTTGAAAGCAAAAACGGTTTTCCGATCAATAACTAAAGAACCTTAAGGCCTAGGAACTTCAAACTTGGTATGGTGATTGGTCATGACCAGTAGATGACCCCTATTGATTTTGGAGTCAAGGGGTCAAAGGTCAAGGTCACATTGACCTTGAAAGCAAAAACGGTTTCCGATCAATAACTAAAGAACCTTTAAGGCCTAGGAACTTCAAACTTGGTATGGTGATTGGTCATGACCAGTAGATGACCCTATTGATTTTGGAGTCAAGGGTCAAAGGTCACATTGACTTGAAAGCAAAAACGGTTTCCGATCAATAACTAAAGAACCTTAAGGCCTAGGAACTTCAAACTTGGTATGGTGATTGGTCATGACCAGTAGATGACCCTATTGATTTTGGAGTCAAGGGGTCAAAGGTCAAGGTCACATTGACCTTGAAAGCAAAAACGGTTTCCGATCAATAACTAAAGAACCTTAAGGCCTAGGAACTTCAAACTTGGTATGGTGATTGGTCATGACCAGTAGATGACCCCTATTGATTTTGGAGTCAAGGGGTCAAAGGTCAAAGGTCACATTGACCTTGAAAGCAAAAACGGTTTCCGATCAATAACTAAAGAACCTTAAGGCCTAGGAACTTCAAACTTGGTATGGTGATTAGTCATGACCAGTAGATGACCCCTATTGATTTTGGGGTCAAGGGGTCAAAGGTCAAGGTCACATTGACCTTAAAAGCAAAAACAGTTTCCGATCAATAACTAAAGAACCTTAAGGCCTAGGAACTTCAAACTTGGTATGGTGATTGGTCATGATCAGTAGATGACCCCTATTGATTTTGGGGTCAAGGGGTCAAAGGTCAAGGTCACATTGACCTTGTAAGCAAAAACGGTTTCTGATCAATAACTAAAGAACCTTAAGGCCTAGGAACTTCAAACTTGGTATGGTGATTGGTCATGATCAGTAGATGACCCCTATTGATTTTGGGGTCAAGGGGTCAAAGGTCAAGGTCACATTGACCTTGTAGGTAAAAACGGTTTCCGATCAATAACTAAAGAACCTCAAGGCCTAGGAACTTCAAACTTGGTATGGTGATTGGTCATGATCAGTAGATGACCCGTATAGATTTTGGGGTCAAGGGGTCAAAGGTCAAGGTCACATTGACCTTTTAATTATAAACGGTTTCTGATCAATAACAAAAGAACCCTTAGGCCTAGGAACTTCAAACTTGGTATGGTGATTGGTTATGACCAATCAGATGACCCCTATTGATTTTGGCGTTAAGGGGTCAAAGGTCAAGGTCACATTGACCTTGTAGGTAAAAACGGTTTCCGATCAATAATGAAAGAACCCTTAGGCCTAGGGACTTCAAACTTGAGATGGTGATTGGTCATGATCAGTAGATGACCCCTGTGATTGATTTTGGGGTCTAGGGGTCAAAGGTCAAGGTCACATTGACCTCTTAGGTAAAAACGGTTTCCGATCAATAACTAAAGAACCCTTAGGCCTAGGAACTTCAAACTTGGTATGGTGATTGGTCATGACCAGCAGATGACCCCTATTGATTTTGGGGTTAAGGGGTTAAAGGGCAAGGTCACATTGACCTTGTAGGTAAAAATGCTTTCCGATCAATAACTTAAGAACCCTTATGCCTAGGAACTTAAAACTTGGTATGGTGATTGGTCATGACCAGCAGATGACCTATTGATTTTGGGGTCAAGGGGTCAAAGGTCAAGGTCACATTGACCTTGTAGGTAAAAAACGGTTTCCGATCAATTTACTAAAAACGCTTAGGCCTAGGAACTTCAAACTTTGTGTGATGATTGGTCATGACCAGCAGATGACCCCTATTGAGTTTCAGGTGAAGGGGTCAAAGGTCAAGGTCACATTGACCTTTTAAGTAAAAAACGGTTTCTGATCAATAACTCAAGAACGCTTAGGCCTAGGAACTTCAAACTTGGTATGGTGATTTGTCATGACCAGCAGATTACTCCTATTGATTTTGGGATCAAGGGGTCAAAGGTCAAGGTCACAATGACCTTGTAAGTAAAAACGGTTTCTGATCAATAACTAAAGAACGCTTCGGCCTAGAAACTTCAAACTTGGCATGGTGATTGGTCATGACCAGCAGATGACCCCTATTGATTTTGGGGTCAAAGGTCAAGGTCACATTGACCTTGTATGTTAAAACGGTTTCCGATCAATAATAAGAGAACCCTTAGGCCTAAAGAACTTCAAACTTGGCATGGTGATTGGTCATGACCAGCAGATGACCCCTATTGATTTTGGGGTCAAGGGGTCAAAGGTCAAGGTCACATTGACCTTGTAGGTAAAAACGGTTTCTGATCAATTAACTAAAAACGCCTAGGCCTAGGAACTTCAAACTTTGTATGATGATTGGTCGTGACCAGCAGATGACCCCTATTGAGTTTTGGGTCAAGGGGTCAAAGGTCAAGGTCATGACCAGTAGATACTTTATAACCCTTATTAATTGTTTGATCACTGGGTCAGAAGTCATGCATAATAACCTTATCACATGACTAATTGGCTGCTGATAGGGGGCATACATGTTTTACAAACATATCTTGTTTTCTTAGAGTTTAAGCCACATGGATAATGGTCATGATTATTTTCTAAGGGTTGATGGCACATAGATATTGTTTAGGTCATTTTGCCACATTTCAATGATACAGATAAAAGAACAGCCTAGGTGTCCTGCATGCAGTATTTCAAAAAGAAACATTCATCTGGTTAAAACCATAAACCAGTAAGCTCACTTTCTAACATGAAGAAATAATACAATATTCTTAGTTGCTTTGAAACACACATTCAGTCATTCATTATTTTTTAATATGAATGAAATAACACTATAATTTTTTCCAAAAAAATGGCATCCTAGCATAATACTGAATAAATGTACATTCTTGAAAGATTAGTTTATTCATTTGACATTTTTTATGGAGCCTAAGAATTAACTTATAAACTTATATTTTAATGATCTACAGGTTACAGGATACAACAAGCTGGCTGGATCTAGTTTTGAGGTGACAAGTAACTACATATTACCCAGCAACCATGGCACACAAGGCTCATACATTGACTTGCCTGTCGGAAAAGAAGCTGTTAAATTTGATTTTGACCTTGTCAGTACATCAAGTTCCTATGTAGCTTTGAGTGAGATTGAAATATTTTCAGATCCCTCCCCAGATGAGCACAGGTAAGATTTTTGAAAAGAAATCTGCTCAAAATTAACCTATCACTGCTGAAATTAATCCTTAATACAAAAATAATTTTGTATGATGAACTTACACTGCTTTTTATTTAAAACTGAACATTTTTTTGATATTAGAATAAAGCAGTTGATGTCATTAAAGAATCATTGAGTATAACATTATAGTTGGTCATCACAGATGTGCAGGATGTGCAAAGGAAAATGGAATTGTTGATGACATTATAATAGGATGTAGTAGTGTACATACATTGAGCTTTAATCATCAAAGTTGATTTATTAGTCTTCTAGTAAGAGAGCATATGAGCTGAAACTGTCAATTCTATAAAATGCGTCATATTCATATTTGTTCACATTTTTCAATTTTAACAAGTGTTTTCGATAGAACTGTTCACTACTCAGGAGAAAATGTGTAAGTTGCTGGCTAGCTGAGTCAGTACAGCTGTGGAACAGTATTCTGAGTGTCCTGTGTTCGAGTCCCTGTCAAACTGCACATTTTTCTCACCCAGTCACAGTACTTAATATGAAAAAAAAAGTTGAATTTCTTCATCTCTTTAAGTATTAAATGAATCTTAATATGGCACCAATAAACTTTAATTTTCTGTATTAAGCACATCTTTATTCTTATTGTAGGTACAAACATATTGGTCTTTTTGGAGCCTCCACATGGATCTTTGCAGATCGTAATGAACAGTTTACATTCAGTGAGGTCATTCTCAAAGGACAATCTCATCTTGCCTTTATGCCAAGGCATGACTACACAGATGGTGTACTGGTTGATGTTGGTAATGTCATTGGAGACAAAACAGGTGACATATCACACATATCATACCATTCCACACAGTTTGATCCCTAAATTCCTGGAATTGAGGGAATACTTTTTTTGTAAAGTTTTAGTAGCTCATCTAATTGTTTACTTAAAGAAGCAAGAGTAGATAATGTTTTATTTACAATAGCCAGCCCATTAATATTTTTACATTTCTCTGGAATCAACTAAAATTCTTTAAGGTCATCAGATTTTTACTTTAAAATTTTATAGTTTTGTGTAAGAGCTAATATGTGTGGATTCCATGATCATAAAAGTCAGTTTTAGAAATTATATGATTATTAAAAGAAACCAAGAAAATCATGTACAGTAACAAATTACTTCTTTTAATTAGGTTTTCTTCATGTTGGTTACAACCAAGAAGTTTCTATTAACAAAACAGCATATGATGTTCCATTTAACACCCATGTGTATGAAACTGGTCATGTGACATACCCACCAAGGACTTTCTTCTACAAGACAAAACTTGTATCTTCTGGAAAGGTGAGAAAAATGTTCAGAAAGAGAAAAAAAAATATTTTCATAATATAGTAAACACAATGACTTTGTTACGTGCTATCCTTTTAAATGATTTTATTTGGAAAAAGATCATGTTATTTCTTGAGCCAAAGCTTTAAATTATCAATAATAAATCCAGAAATCTTTTAGTGTGATTCAACTTTGTGATTCTAAAAATAGTGAGTAATAATTAACTGCTTTGTTTTTTGCATTTATGCCTAAAGTTCTTACTACTAAAAACATTCAGTATTGAGCATAAGTTGTTCTGATGAATGCACAAATGGATTTTTTTATACTTTCATTAAATTATGATGACAGAGCAAGCATGGGGCTCTAAAAAATTCAAGAGTTAATGGTACAAAACAGTTGTATCTCAACTTACCTGCAGAACAATTATCTAAATTCTGACTGTTTTGTGATATCCACATGAACAGCATTTTTCTATATTGAAGGAAGAATTTTGTCTAAGCTCGTACTAGTGTATATTAACAATAGCTTGCATTTTACTTCCATTCATGAACTGAGAAGTCAGCAATATTTTAAAATTGTCTTTTTGGGTGATCCAACTTCAACATGTTCATTTACAACCCTGTTATGAACCTTTTTTTTTCAAGGAAAAGTGATGCATTATTCCCATGAAAAAATATCTTTCTTGTTTGCTTATGAACAGGTTTCAGGCATGGAAGACCTGTATGTGTTCAAAGGAGGACTGGTTTCCATAGATACAAGTGGTAGCATAGCAACCAGTCACACTAGTGCTAAAGTATCAATGAAATCTCTGCATGTACAGGAGGCAGGAACGTTTGAGATGAAGTCCTACACATCACTTGATAGCTTCAATATGGATGCTACTAATATATCAGTATGTAATAAAAAAAATTCCCTATAAGTATTAAGTGAAATAGTTTTACATTCAATGTTAAAAATGAATAAAACAAATTAGGAAAAAAAATTTCTTTGATGTGAATTATAAACCTTAACATGCTTAATGCTGCTAGAGCTTATTCATCATATTATGGTAAATTTGTTATGGAAATTTAGAAGAATTGTGGATGCATCCTGCTGTTGTTTTTGTTTTCGTAATAAAATATATATATTGTATTGAGTTGAATGGTTTTACCAGTCTGTAGGCAGTGAAACGGTTCAAAAGAAATTCATTAGAAAAGCTAAAAAGTTCTTAGTATAAAATTTAATGCATATACATTACTTAGAGTACTTATTTATTGCATGAACACTCAGTTCATACTATTTTTCCTCATGATAAATACATAAGTTCCATAAAAATTATGAAGGAATTTTGGATGAACTTAATATTGATAAATTTTCATGTAGATATATGGAGGAGGCCATTTCAAAGTAAACACTGCTTTAAAAATGACTGTGCATCATTTATTGGCTGTATATTCTGGTGGCAAGTTAGATCTTAGTGGAGCAGGTTTCCAGTCTGATTCAGTGAATCATGGACCAGCACCTGGAATAGGTATGTTTATTTAAAACTTTAATGTATCTAATACTTAATGTGTTTGGTGCCACATTGGGATGACTCTTTTTGAAGAGCATTGGGTTCTGACAGCATTACTACAGCTCCTTTTCTGTTAGTTGAATTACTTTGTCCTACCCACCTGGTCCTACCAATGCTGAATTAGTATTTGGACTTGTGTTTCTTTGAATTAAATAGAATCATCCATTGTTAACATGATGTATTTTGAGAAATACAGTCTTACCATGCTGTATATTATGTTACATGATACCATTACTAATGATACTTTGATAAAAAATTTTAATATTTATTTCAAACAACTTTTTTAATGTGCTAGAACTTCTCTTGAGAGAGACTGAATGTACTGGATTAGTGTATGAGAGAATAATCTGTTTAATTAGTATAAAAACTAAGTAATGATAACTTTACTCAAATGTTTGTGTGTATCATTATTTGAAGGTTCAGCATCAGGAGGAAGTGGTGGTGGCCACGGTGGAAGTGGAGGTCGAGGCTCTGGGCTCACAACAGTTGGTATAGGGTATGACTCCATGTATGAACCTAATATGGCAGGATCAGCAGGTGGCCATGGATACCATTTTGGTTTGTAGACTTTTATTTTTGCATTAAATTATAATAATAATAATGATAATAATAATGATGATGATGATAATGATGCTGATGATAATAATAATGACTTTATTTAAAGAGGCTACATTATAAGTAAGGCAAGCCCAGTCTTCCCTATGAGCCTCTATCAAAATGTACATATATACAGTTGCAAACAAAAGAGTTATATAGTTTAAATTTGTGGTGATAGTTTTTGACAAATATTTTCAGCAATATTGATTTTATGTGAAAAAGTCCATATTTTTTTCTAGTGTTAACTTGCTATAACTTTATTTGTTTCATTGAAAAAATGGTATCATAATTTCCCGTTTCTCTGGCTTTTACATATATGCATATTGTTTAAAAACAGAAGAATAAAGACAAGGAGGGTATGATGACAAAAGGTTGACAATAGATTATGTAAAAATACTTGTTTCACATCTTTATTATTGTGAGTTCAACTTTTTGAAGAAAAGCGGGAGCTATTGTACTCGAAAAAGCATCAACATCATTATCAAACTTTGTTAAGTTTTTCCTTGCATATTGTTATGTCCAGAACTACCGATGGGAATGGGTTCAAACTTCACACACTTATTTTAGAGCATAACAGGAGGTCACTGTTCGAGGCCCATAACTCTTAACATGGATTTTGATAGAGTTATGGCCCTTTTTAACATACAAAATTCTTCATTATCCAGGCTCTTATTTTACCATCATTAAACACTGAGAATAGTCAAGCATACTGTCAAACTGATTTATCTTGTTACAGGTGAACTTTATTTTGGTGACAATGTCTATGGTAATACTGTAGTACGTAAAGGTTTAGGTGGACCTGGTGGAGGTAAACTGGAGGTCCGTAGTCGACATGTAGACATAGATGGATTAGTAGCTGTTAATGGCATAAACCCTGATGCTAGATCTGATAGAGGTGCAGGTAGGTGAACAAATGTTATATCTGAATAAACCAAAGGAACAGTCAATACATGTCTATTGTGTGCAATTGTTTTACAAATCATCACATTCAATTTATGAAACATATTATTATTGTAATCTTTCATGGTAGTGATATTTGAAGTAATGAAAACTATGTGTAAAATGGAAAAGAACTGTTACTTTTGACAACTTCTCTGCATAATTTCTTAGCAAAAGACACTTAAAATATTTGTTAAAAATAGATCTATAAAATCTATTGTAAGTCTGTAGTGGGTTTTTTTATGTAAATTTTTTTTTCTGCAAAAAGCAATTTAAAAATTAATGAAATCTTGTTAAGAATTTGTTTTCCTATTTCATAAATGAACCTACTTTTGGGTAATTTGAATAGCTCATAGAAACTTTTAAGGTCATCTTTGCAGCTTTCTGTTAAAAATAGAGCTATGAGTTAAATGTAACGACAGTGTACCAAAGTGAATACCTCTCTTGTTTGGGGAAAAAAACCCTGAAATCTTAAATAATCATTATAAAGTTATCTAATTTGGTTTGTATGTATGAAGGTGGAGGAGCTGGTGGAGCAATCTGGATTATATGTGAGGAAGTTGTTGGACATGGAACTATCACAGCTTTTGGTGGTAATGGAGGAGGGGTCAAAGGTCAGGCTGGAGGTGGGGGCGCTGGTGGCAGAATCTCTGTACAGTGTGATAACATACATAAATTTAATATCACCATGAGAGCTTATGGCGGTAATAAATTTAATTTTTATATATACTATCATTAATGATTGTAATGGGAAAGGTTATGGTTATATTGCAGCAAATAATCTTTAGTACTTTGTTGCTATTTATGTAGATTGATTGTAAATTTAGGAGACTGATGGTATACTTCTTAAATTTGAGTAATTTTGTAGATGAATTATGTGTACACATCAGAAAAGTGTGAATTCACTTAAACCTAGGATGTAAAGCATTAATTGATAATTAACACTTTTAATGTTTGAAAGATTATCAAAGGACTTTATTATATATAGTGCCATTTGAATTATAAAGGTGTAAGTAACAGTGAGACTGGAGGGGCAGGGACATCATATCTTGAAGCAAGGCACGAAAACGGTACACTTTACAAAAAGAAACTCACTGTTGACAACAATGGCCACGCTTACCCTCATGCTGCGGATTACAATGCTGGCTTCTTGAGAAATCTTCTAAATGGAGAGTATAAAGATATCAGTAACACAGGTGGTGTAACTTGGCTTTATCATGACAAATTTGCATACAGTTTTAAGGAATTGGACGTACGAGGAAACGCCCATGTTGCTATTTTAAGCGACACAGACAATGAAGTCATTGATTTACGTGTAGATTTTCTCTGGGGTGACAGGACTGGTGTGTTGCATGCTGGGAAAAATCAGACTTTTGGACTGAGAGATGTGGATGTGTATTTGCCGACTAACTTAGCAGCATACAGGTATTTCATGCTCATTCATACGATTTCTTTAGAAACATTACAAAATGCAAGTAGTTATATACTGTAGATATACATCAATCTTTATTACCAAGGGCTTTTGTGACATGTTTCTTGTGATGCTAAATTGCACACATACAATATCTTTAGGGCAATGTTGTTCTGTAGTTAAATGTTTTATAAAGTGAAAAGCGGATAAATTCTTGTTGAATCTACTGACAAGTCTAAAAGATTCCTATTAGGAGATATATCTGTTGAATTACTTTAGGGCAATGTTGTTCTGTAGTTAAATGTTTTATAAAGTGAAAAGCGGATAAATTCTTGTTGAATCTACTGACAAGTCTAAAAGATTCCTATTAGGAGATATATCTGTTGAATTACTAATTTTATGCAAACTTTGACTAAGTTTATCGAAATTATGTTTGAAATATTTTAGTAATTTCTTTGTAAGAGCAGAATATAGATATTTACTTGTTTTGTATTGTGAATGCATAAGAGTTAAGATCTTCAAGTTTACATTTTTAATATACTAGTGATAACTTTGATATTTGAAATTTTAACAAGTTTATAAACAATATTGTAATATCTGAGCAGATTAACACAGGCCTCCTCTAGGATTGCGCCATAGTTTTTTTTGTGTGTGAAAAAAATCATGGTTTCTTGTGAACTTTCAATAATTAATTTATGATAAGTTGGCCAATTTCAATTTGATGTAATTTCTTTAATTTAGGTATAGCAGAATAGAAGTTCCATCAAAAGTGACACTGCGTGAAGTATGGGCAGAAATTAACGGTACTATAGAAGGCATGAATGTTATAGCTGTAGAAAATGAAGGAGAACTCTACATATGGTCATATGCCAACTCAGATGGCTACAAGGAAGGTCAGCTTGTGGCAACAAACATTTCTGTGAGGGCAGGTGGAAAGTTTGAGCCTCTGACAGCTGTAGAACAGATGAACCTGATCGTGACGAGGCTTGTGGTGAACGGGAATGGTTATGTGAGGACTAATAGTCTGAAACTAAATGCTACAAATGTAACAATTGACCTGTCAGGTAAGTAGGGAAAAAACAAAACATTGCCATACCATTCAACTTGACTGACTTTTGTGCTATGTGAACAAAATAAGAAAATAGAAAACCATTATTGATGATATCAACAAAAAATACTGCCTACCATCGTCTGGTATAAAAAATGTAAATAAATATTGTAATTGCTTGATAGCAGCTTTCTTTATTTCATAGAAATTTCTCACAACTTAGTTTGTAGGAATATCAGACACAACATCCTAGTTGATGAAAATACACACATTTAAATTGTTTGGCTTAGTGCTGTACTGTTAGTTTATAGTAATGATATCAAATGACATGTTGAGAAGATGTAATCTCTTATTATATAGGTGATTTCCATGCTGACTTCACTGGTTTCCCTGGCAACGAGGGTCATGGTAAAGGAAGGAATGCCAACAGTCACGAAGGTGGAGGGACAGGTGGTGGTCATGGAGGTCGTGGGGGTAGATGTAAAAATGGATATTTCTCAGCATACTCATATGATTCTATGTATTTCCCCACACAGATGGGTAGTGGAGGTGGCAATTCTCCAAGTGGAAATGGTGGTAGGGGTGGAGGTAAGGTATTTGTTTCAAGATTAGGACTTTCTTAACCAGCTTTTAACAAATGAGGTAGTGCTTAGTCAATGTTTGTATATTTATCAGTAGATAAGACTGTCTTGTCTGGTCAGATCAATGATTTTAAAATCAATGATTTAAAAAAAAACTTTAGCATTCAGAATGCATATTTTGTGAGGATGGTTGTTATGACCTTTATTGATTTCAAAGACAGCATGTCAAAGGTCAAGGTATCTGTGACAATAACCTTCCTATATGAGGTAAGTAAGTCAAAGGCCATAGCTATAGCAACAACTCTGACCTTGACCAAAAAGTCCTGTCCATTCTATAACAATACATTACTTTCGCCTATAGTCATCAGATAGTTTAATGTTGATCATCAGATTGGTAACTGATCCATATTGAGTTCAAGATCAGTGGATAATGTTCACATTGCAATGTCCTTCACACAAAAAGCTGACTGACAGTTTTAAGATTTGATAGGGTGGTTGGTAACATCACAGATTGGTTGCCATTTGGGTTTGTACATATTTCAAAAACATCTCTTGTTGATTATGTTTCTTTAAAGAATAAGATTTATTTATGCAACAATTTTTCTTATGTAAACTCAATGCTATTTATCTGTGAGTTTCATTTGTTTACAGGTATTATACACATGTTTATCAAAGATGAACTAAGGGTCGAAGGTCGTTTACATAGTAATGGTGAAAAGGGTGGAGACAGTAAAGCAGGAGGCGGGGCTGGAGGATCTCTATATGTATCAGCCAATCATCTTGATGGAACTGGATCTATTGAAGTAACAGGAGGAGCAGGTATTTGCATAATGATTATTGTTAATTGACAGAGGACTTATGGACTACAAAAGTATTAGTGATGGAAAACTCTTTTTAGGATTTTGTCCAAATAGTTAATAATTGAGTCTTTATTGAAGTTTATCTTCTTGCCGCTTCCGATGGTTCTTCTTCAAATTTGTTCATTTTAACTTCTCTTTTATGGTAAGTAGAGCTTAATAAAGCATTATGATAAAAATTTGAACAAACTTTTTTAAGAACCAAAAGATTTGTGTTGATTGAATGACTGTCTTTGAAAAAGATTCAATTAACTCAACCTTGCTCTTATTCATTATGAACAGAGCAATAGATCATACTTTAATAACATAGTAAGTTATCAAACAATCATTGATAATTGGTTTTTGAAATTAAATTGTAATTCTGTCTGAGGATTATTTTTCTTGCCATATATTAATGTTACAGGTTATATTTCGTAAAACAGAGATACCAACTCAAAACCTCCTATTTCTTACCACAGTTTTAAGATGCTCAACACAGCATCATACCATGCTTTGTTGTCCAGGTATTCTTAATAAAAGTGCTTGGCTAGTTGTTAAGTTTACTGTTTATCTTCATGAGCAACTTAGGACTCCTATGGCCATGATGTTAAAGGAATAGGAATGGATGGATTAATGTCTGTCTAATATAAATATTCATCATTTAAAAAGAGGAACCAGGACAGTTTTTCTGTTGACATCAACCCTATAAGTGAGAAATTCGTGTTTTAAGACACTATTTTTTACTTGAGAAATAAGTTCATGAGCGCCGCCATTTTGGCGTTCTGTCACTCTCGCGAGACAGACGAGACCGAGATTGTGACGTGTTACACCCACTTCCGGTATAGGTGTACACGCTGGTACAACTGAAATATATCTTGATGAAGAACTTATTATTCTTATTGCCCACACTATATATAATAATTATGAAAACATCATATGGAACTGAATTGCTTTAATTAATTAATTGAAGACGCCGCGACATTAATTATCATTTGTCCGATGTTCAAACTTGCTGATGATCCCACCACATGATTTAAGCAATGACTGCTTAATTTTCAAAGATAAACCATCAATTTAATTTGGGTACTATGAGAAACTTCTTCCAATTAACGATATATCCTTTTATTTTGTACTTAATTTTCGCTAGACAAGCTGTCCGAATAGGGTACATCGCCGGTCATGTGTCTGTTTTCAGCTTAAAATATCAACTAAATCCAATATGCAGAGATCTGCTGAGGACGCGATTTTCCGCCGTTGACGCTTAAAATGAGAATGGCGCAGGAAAATCGGCAGACAGACTTATATCGTATGAAAACAAAACTGTCTGTTAGGTTATTTAGGCACCCAGTCAAAACTGGTACCAACAGCAACAGGTTGCCCATTCCCCTGTAATTACGCATATTCTCGGGTTTATCCAGTTCCCTATAGCTTTTTTCCACGTTATCTACTTACCCAATCCCTTTCCCACACAGATACGCATTTCTACTACCGTAAATTTAATCCATTAAAACAAAACATCATAAATCTACTTACTATTTAAAATGATTATTGGTAACTGAAAAAAGAAATGTCTTGCTATTTTATGAAATGCTGTAATTTACAGTATAACTTGACAGGTGCGGAACTTAATTTCCCCTAAGGTCATTCAGTTCACTGATCAAGCGTAAAAAAAAATAGATGTCTATTTCGTCATTAGAATATTTGACCAGGGTGCTTAACCAATCAGGGCAACATTGTGCATGATCAAAAGGTCTGTCGGCACAGAGGCATACAAGGAGCAATAAAAATCGTCAATACACAGTGTGACAGGAACATTTGGTACAAATTAGGAACAATTAAAATGGATAATGCACAGTATTAGACATTAGTCGTAAGAACCAGCAATTGTGTGAATAAATTATGCAAATCAGATTTTTGAGCAGCCAATAAAAATGTTTTGCCTGCAGTTAATATTAGGCTACGATGACGATGTAAATAAATACCACTCAGCATCATACGTTGACAGACAATTGTTAACAATTTACTTTTCAAAAGAGTTGCTTATATTTTTGAAATGTGTACATCAATTATAAATATGTTCACACCTTTAATTTGAAAGTCAGAATCAAACTGCAAAAATTTAATTACACACGTTTTGGTAGGATTTTTATAATAATGATAATTATCGCCGTTAAATAATTAACAGCCAATTATTCGTTCTTGCATTTGTTTATTTAATTGCATTATTTGATTGTGAAACTTTGTTAAATAATAACATGTGTATTTATCAAATCTGTGAAATATTGTTTAATTACATTAAGATGAGACTTTAATGAACATAGCATTGTTTGGAGTAATGGGCATCACTGGCCTGAAGTGATGCGACCGGTAGACGTTGATTTTTTTATTTGTTTCTTTAATTTTTTTTTTTTTTTTTTTTTTTTGATATTGTTACGTATTTTGAACCCCCCAAAAAAAATCTCCTACACCTCCTGTGAAAATTAATTTGTCTGGTCAATACTTTATTATATTAATATTTCGCTACGATTCTACTCGATTTATTATAAATCTGAAGATGTGGGGAATTGACATCACGCGCACCTGTTTTTATACGGCCAATACACAAACATGGCCGCGCCTACTGATTTGTAGAAATCGGTGATTTAGAGATTTAAGTTTTGTTATCATTCGTTTAATATTATTGTTTGGCGGCAGAAATTTGCAGATTTATTATTTAAAGTATTCTTTTTCTGAAATCAAGTTTTTATTCTAACCTTGTCTTTCCCTTTAAGCCATGCTAGTACTATTACATCATAGTTTATGAAAATGAAGTTTTAATTGTATTTGATATGTTACTTTACAGGAGGTACAAGTGGTGGAGGAGGTGGAGGTGGACGAATAGCTATCTATCACACAGACCAAAACCACTTCACTGGCAAATACCTTGTACATGGTGGGTGGGGTACAGAGCAATATGGTGGCCCAGGAACTGTATATCTTGAGTCTCGCTTTGTAACTCCGGCATATAGACATCTGATAGTAGATAACAATGGTCATTCAACAAGCAACAGAATTTATGAAGTGGAACGTCTCAACTTAGCAGGAAATTATTACACAACGAGAAATTATCCAGAAATGGTCTTCCATAGTCACAATGGTGTTAATACTACAACTACAGCACGACCACATAGTGTGTTACATAGTATTCCAGATGCCAACTACTACTACCCAACTTATCCATTAAGCCATTTATTTACACCTGGAAAAGCAAATGTGAACACGATCTACATGTCACATGCAAAACAGGCAACCTTGACCATTGACCTACCATATAAAACTTATGTGGAGTATCTGCAAATATTTCCATACTGTGAGAGTTTTAAAGTAAGTAGTTCTTCACTTGTATCTCTAAAAATTGATGTGTAATTTCCTAAAAAGATAATATTGAACTCATCATACCTGTCATTTTCATTTTAGTGCCACATAGCTTCATGAAATAAAAAATGATAAATAAGTTGCTGATTTGTATTGTGAGCATTGATTATTTTGAATAGGAGGGTTATATTTTAATGCTCTCTATGTTTTGCCCATTTAACACATTTTCTCATTTAATTAGAGAACAGTTCTATACTATGACACATATTATCTTAAAATTTGTCCTCACATTTCTTCCTAGTACAGAGAAGTTTCTCAATGACTTTAGAGCTATAAACCATCATGATCCCATGCTTGATGTCAAATGTCATGAGCTAAGAAAAATTTGCAGCCTGACTGGAATTCAAACTAGTACCTTTGGAATACTGTTCTACGGCTCTACCAACTGAGATACCTAGAAATTCACTTATTTTGTCCTCTAATAAGTGAAAAGTTTATACCATACTACCTCCCCAACTAGATTGAAATAATATGTAGAGAGAGAATACTACTAAATGAATGGAGCTATATACTATGAAGGTCCAAAAGTGTCAGGGTGAGAAAAATTTGCAACTGGACTTGGACTCAAACCAATGACCATGGGAATACCCTTCTGCCATTATACCAAGTTATTATTCCACTGACACTTTTCGTCCCTTAACCCTTTCCCTCATGAGCATATTGTGAAAAATGGCCATTTTCACTGAAAAGCCTCCTGTTACAAGTTCAAACTGCTATGAAACTATGAAAAATTTCTTCAATACTAATCAATCTTGGCACAAATGTTGACTGGACCATTGCCTTTGTAACAACATGCTCAGTCTTAAATTTCCTGTTACCATGGCAACAAGGGGGCATCTCAAAATTGCCAAAAATCACTATTTTGCCTCGATTTTTTTCATGAAAATTTATTTCAAAGTGCTGCAAAGATAGAGTCAAAGGCTTTTCAGCGTTGGTTACATGTTACCTTAAGATCGACTGGGGGTCATGTTTAGCCTCTCACAAGTCCAAAATTTTCTTGGCGATGAGGGGAACTCTGCCCCCCCCCTTTAAACCGCCCAAACAGAAGGGGGCACATCCCCCTTCTTGCAACCCCCTGATATATGTTTTGGATGGGGACCAGCGCCGAAAAAGTGCTCACTTTTTTTAGCAACATTTCTCAAACAAAAACGTGTTTGGGGCCCAAATAGGACATTTTTTCACTATTTCAGGCCTAAAAAGGGGGGTGGGGTGGGGTCGAAAGTGCGTTGTTTCGCGTATATATGAGGTAAAGGGTTAATTAGTGAACAGTACAATATTTTGAAAATCTGTTCACTGTTTTCAGTATATATGGGACAGCATATGCAGTAGGAAGTTCACTAGAGGGTGGAACAGTAACCAGTCATACTAATGGCTTTGTAAATACAGACTATTGCCAAACACAGAGAGAACCTGACCAGTATGGTACTGTAGAAATTAGGGACAATATTGACAAGGTAAATACTACTGATTATATTTGTAAAATGTTTTGATAACATTATTTTCTTTTCACACAAAGCTTTAACTTTTCTGATATAATTTCAGTTAATGTCAATTAGGTCAAAACTTATATGGACTTCTCCTAAAAAACTACTGAACTTTACAAGAATTATCAGTACCAAGTTTAGTTCACTTTTGATGTTTTGTTGATTTTTAGCCCTTGAGTTTTGGCCTGTTAATAATTTTTGTGTCTCTAACCACACAGAAGCTGCAAATAAGTAGCCAAGACATATAAAGGAACAAACTGTCCAATCACCCATCACCACTTCTGCTTAACTGGCTATCATCAGGCAACACATTTGATCACTGATCCCTCTTGTAATCAAATGGTTATTATTTAGTGCCAACCAAATGTGTATTGTTCTAGCTTTATCTGTCACCATAGAACTTTAATAACTAGAAACATAATTTAGACTAAACTTTAGTTCCAAGGATGATATAAAAAATGTGATAATTATTGATGAATTGTCACTTTTATAAATCAACTTTCAAAAAGATTAAATGATTTTAAATCTTGACAACTTTTTAGAAACTATCAATAAGCACATACAAACATTACATTTACAGATCACCATACACCTAAGGGCTAGTGGAAGTTATGTAGCACTCAGTGAAATAGAGGTATATGTACGAGAAGACCCAACATCTTTCACACAGACACCATATAACAATGGTAATGGTGCAGGCTTTATACTTCCAGAGACAACTACCACTAAGTTTACATTTGACAAGGTAAAATGTTAAATCTACTTATCTCTAGTTTTCCTGATCATGCTGTAAGTGTAAAAGGTTGAAATCTTAACATTTCTAAAGGTACTTGTATATTACTATCAGTTTTTTAATCCACTGTAATTTGTAGGTTTGATTTTAAACAGAAAATATTTGTAAGTAATATTTCTATTAAAGAATAGAAATTGTACATATTTGACATGATTGTAGAGACATTTCATATTGTCACCTTAGTCCAATAACTTGTTAACTCCTATTAAATTTAGAAGGACTAAAAAAGATGATGATATAATATATTTTTAGCTCACCTGTCACAAAGTGACAGGGTAAGCTTTTGTGATCGCTTTTCGTCCGGCGTCCGTCCGGCGTCCGTCCGTAAACTTTTGCTTAAAATGACATCTCCTCATAAACCACTGAGCCAATTTCATCCAAACTTCACAGGAATGTTCCTTTGGTGGTCACCTTTAAAAATTGTTCAAAGAATTTAATTCCATGCAGAACTCTGGTTGCCATGGCAACCAAAAGAAAAAACTTTAAATATTTTCTTTTAAAAAACCGTAAGAGCTAGAGCTTAGATATTTGGCATGAAACATCTTCTAGTGAGTGTCTACCAAGTTTGTTCAAATAAAAGCCCTGGGGTCAAAATTGGCCCCGCCCCAGGGGGGCATTGATTTTCCCTATATGCATATAGTAAAAACTTAAAAAATCTTCTTTTAAAGAACCCAAAGAGCTAGAGCTAAGATATTTAGCATGAAACATCTTCTAATGAGTGTCTACCAAGTTTGTTCAAATAAAAGCCCTGGGGTCAAAATTGGCCCCGCCCCTGGGGGTCATTGATTTTCCCTATATGCATATAGTAAAAACTTAAAAAAATCTTCTTTTAAAGAACCGTAAGAGCTAGAGCTTAGATATTTGGCATGAAACATCTTCTAGTGAATGTCTACCAAGTTTGTTCAAATAAAAGCCCTGGGGTCAAAATTATCCCTGCCCCAGGGGGTCATTGATTTTCCCTATATGCATATAGTAAAAACTTAAAAAATCTTCTTTTAAAGAACCCAAAGATCTAGAGCTAAGATATTAAGCATGAAACATCTTCTAGTGAGTGTCTACCAAGTTTGTTCAAATAAAAGCCCTGGGGTCAAAATTGGCCCCGCCCCGGGGGTCATTGATTTTCCCTATATGCATATAGTAAAAACTTAAAAAATCTACTTTTAAAGAACCATAAGAGCTAGAGCTTAGATATTTAGCATGAAACATCTTCTAGTGAATGTCTACCAAGTTTGTTCAAATAAAAGCCCTGGGGTCAAAATTGACCCCCGCCCCAGGGGGTCATAGATTTTCCCTATATGCATATAGTAAAAACTTAAAAAATCTTCTTTTAAAGAACCCAAAGAGCTAGAGCTAAGATATTTAGCATGAAACATCTTCTAATGAGTGTCTACCAAGTTTGTTCAAATAAAAGCCCTGGGGTCAAAATTGGCCCCGCCCAGGGGTCATTGATTTTCCCTATATGCATATAGTAAAAACTTAAAAAAATCTTCTTTTAAAAAACTCAAAGAGCTAGAGCTAAGATATTTAGCATGAAACATGTTCTAATGGGTGTCTACCAAGTATGTTCAAATAAAAGCCCTGGGGTCAAAACTGGCCCCGCCCGGGGGGGGGGGGGTCATTGATTTTCCTTATATGTGTATAGCAAAAACTTAAAAAATCTTCTTTGGAAAAACCCGAATAGCTAGAGTTTAGATATTAAGCATGAAACATCTTTAAGTAAATATCTACAAAGTTTTGTTAAAATAAACGCCCGGGGGGTCAAAACTGGCCCTGCCCCAGGGGTGTCATTGTTTTTTAACTATATGTGTATAGTAAAAACTTTAAAAAATCTTCTTTTAAAAAAGCCAATGAGCTAGAACTTAGATGTTTAGCATGAAACATCTTCTTGTGGGTGTCTACCAAGTCTGTTCAAATAAACAAATAAAAGCCCTTGGGTAAAAATTGGCCCGGGGGTGGGGGGGGCCTATATACAGGTGAGCGACTTCAGGGCCATCATGGCCCTCTTGTTATGGGTTTGATCAATTTATAAATCCAATTGTATCTTTTGGAAGTCACCATTTTTATGTCATTGTGAATGCCGATTTTTGCTTACAGTTAGAAATTTTGGGAGGAGCTTCTCTTAATCTTGACAATGCTAACATGAAGCTAACGGCACACCAGGTATTTGGGGACGATACAGGCAGATTGTCCCTTAGACGATCACAGACGTATAACAACACACAGGATAGAGTCCTTCAAACATTTGGTATCCTCACTCAGAGAGAATCAAGCCTGAATTTACCTCTAGAGTTGGACTGTCGGGGAATAGATATGTATGTTAAAGGTGGGTAACGTTTTGAAAAGTAGGGTCAAAAATCTTTGTTAATTAATTTGTTTACACTGTTTGAAAACTTTATGCAACAATATTTTTCAAAAAGTATCAATATTAGATATCTAAAGGTGCTTTTTCTAATTGTTAACTTAATATATTTTATTCAAGGGGATGAAAAAAGTAATCTTTTAAATAATTTTAGTAACGTTTATTACTCTAGTCTGTGTTTACGTGCCATATTGTTATGTCCCTTTTAATTCTTCAAACTTTCAACAAATTTCCTAATAAGTGCTCATTAGTTCTTATAAAAATTTGCTTTAATGCATCTACATAGTTAAGGCTATGTAAAGTTATTCCAAAATTATCATTTAGGAGGCTAAAAATTGCAAGTTATAATAAATAT